CACTGGTTAAGTTTTCCTGAACAGAATTACGTCATCTTTGAGAAGTTTATGAGTGGATGCTTGTGATTCTATTTGATGGAGACTGGAGAGACTGATGAGACATTGTGATCTCATTACCCCAAAATTTGGGAATTATGCTTCTTACCTTGATGGTATTGGGGAAAATGTAGTTAAATGAGCTTTGAGATTGTGTTCCCGGGCCTGATCCATAGGAGAATTGATCCTGTTGGTTGGTGTATAAGAGATTTTCCGTCAATTTCTCTGAGTTCGCTTGAAGCTTCTGAGTGATATCACTGCTGTGTCGAAGTGAAAGCCCCTGGGATTATTGAATGTAAATCTGTGCACGAGCCTATGCAAACAGGCTTAAAGCAGTAGATAGCCCGGTTGAAACTTATTTTCTTAGAGTCGGAATTAAGTTAAGGGACAACAGCTATGAAAATAAGGGCCTTCGTTTGTCAAATATGTGAAAAATGTCGAGTGATCCATTGGAGGGGACGAATTCTAGCAATTTGTTATAATCCGAGACATAAACAAAGACAAGGACAATCATTTGAAAAGGGGCTCTCTAACGTAAAGGACTCAGGCAACGTTAGAGGAACTACCCCTCTTTTCCTCACCTCCTTAGTCATTAGTCGAGTGAATTCTGTTACTTTTTCCTTCTTTTCCTTGACCACCCTTCCCGTCGCTCTGAGTTCCAATGAAAGTTGACGAGTTAACTGTCTTTCAAACTGCCTACAAGGCTTCTAAAAAGCGCTTTAACGAGATCGCTTCCCACCTTATCATCTTAGAAAGCGTCTGAGGTTGCATGCGTATTTTAGGTTGTTTGCTCTTTCGGTGCTTTGAAGGGACGTAAGAGAAACATGTGGTGGAAGAGTCATTAATTAACTCAATCATTTATCTGTTTTGCCAGATTGAGATTCTTTTCAAAGGTAAAGCTTGCAGTGAAATTAGGGAATCTGCTCTGGGTTTGACAAAGCGGCTGGCTCAGACGGCCCAAGATACTTTTGGGGATTTTGAAGAAGCGGTTGAGAAAGATGCAACAAAAACGGCTGTTTCAGATGGAACAGTACATCCATTGACAAGCTATGTGATCAATTACGTGAAGTTCTTATTTGAGTATGCTCAGCAACCCTTTTACTAGTGGATTTGAATTAATTTAATCAAACTGGATTTTTTTAATCTTTTTTTAGGGTACTTTCTTTCTGGTATTGTTTTAATTGTATTTGTAGGTGGAATTTTGATGAGGTGATAGTTACCATTACAAGTCTGTTTTGTACGAGGGGCTTTTTCACAATAATCTGTGGATATTTGCTGTCTTCTCTGGAAAAATTTGATCTTTCTAAGTGCTTCCCAACTTGGCAAATTCTTTTTCTTGGAAAGCCTTTTACAAGTTTAACAAATCTATGCATTTCATTATGATATCTATGTTCCTCCTCTTTTGTGTATCTTGTTATATTAGCAGCAAAATATAGATCAGTAGCTTTTCAAAAGTTTTAGTACTGTTGCTTTTTATCAGTGGCGGACCTGGGGAGGATAGTGGTGGGCCCCGCCCCCTAGGTCCAAATATCCCTTATATATGGCATTTAATAGAAAGAATTTTCTCACCCCCAAGCTCAATTTCTCCGTTCGCCATTGCTTTCCAGATAAGAGATGTTTATATGGATTAAGCAAAGCACTAAGATGCAGCAAGCAACAGACAACATTAAATAGCCTATGCACAATTTTGACTCCGTTATGACCAGTGCATTTAAGCTAGACATATGCTAGGCACCTGATGATCACTAATTGAATTGTTGCAGTTATCAATCAACTCTGAAGCAACTATTTCAAGAATTTGAAAATGGCGATGACACATCTCAATTAGCCTCTGTGACAATGCGGATAATGCAGGCTCTTCAAACCAATTTAGAGGGAAAATCCAAGCAGTATAAAGATGCTGCTTTGACGCACTTGTTTCTTATGAACAACATACATTACATGGTCAGATCTGTGCGCAGGTTTGCCTTCGACAATGTTGTAGATTTTGAAATGTGGCTCTTTCTGCTATATTTTGTGTAGCACCACTCTCATTTGTTCGATTTTAGGTCCGAAGCGAAGGATTTGTTGGGGGACGATTGGGTGCAAAGGCATCGGAGAGTTGTGCAGCAGCATGCCAATCAATACAAGAGGAATGCTTGGGCAAAGGTATAGACCTAGTAATCCCTGATACTTGTCATATGTACTCTGCTAATTATACTGCTTAGTTTTATGCAGATTGTGTTACCTATCGCCCTCTCTCACTTTTTGAGAAGGTTACAAAGGACAAATTAATAAAGGGGATGATAACTGATAACAAATTATATATACAGTTCTTGGGAATTTATGCATCTTTTATTAAGGATATCCCCCTTGGATTGACTCCTTTGTTTTTTATGACAAACTCGCATGAATTCAAATTTATAGTTTCAGATTTGTTTCCCATCGTATGTGGGGTAGATGATAGCATAATTTATCCGCAAAGAGAGAGGTTTGGCGGTAGAGGGGGCAGGGTAGGGGTAGTGGGTGGTGGGAGGGTGGACTCCTGTTGTATTATATTTAACTACATTATATGCTGCTCGCGAAGAAGATATTGCCTGACTGATGTCGGTGAGACAATGTTTCAAAAACACCAAAGGTTGTAGTTGTTTTTGTCAGGGGAGCCGGTTTGCTCCCTTTAATAATGCCATCGGGTAAGTACTTACCATCAGTTTGGGAGTTGGCACCAGCCATCAAAATCCCTATTTGGCTCATTTAAAAATTTGTAATGTGTAATAGAAAACCTGCTTGCCGAAATATCTTTGTCCTGGCAAAAGATCCTACTGCTCATGATTATAGCTTTTATGCAGATTTTGCAATGCCTTACTATCCAAGGCCTTACATCATCAGGAGGTAGTAGTGCAGCTGGTGTAGGTGGTGATACAGGAAATAGCAGTGGTGCTTCAAGAGCATTGGTGAAAGACAGGTGTCATTTTCTTTGAAACTCCTCTATCTTGAGAACAATTTTGTTTCTCTATTTGTGGCGGGTAAATGAATTTCACATGGAAAATGCAATTTGTTGTCAGGTTCAAGACTTTCAATATGCAGTTTGAGGAGCTTCATCAAAAACAATCCCAGTGGACTGTTCCTGATACTGAGTTGCGGGAGTCTCTGAGGCTTGCAGTGGCTGAAGTCCTTTTGCCAGCCTACAGATCTTTTGTCAAAAGATTCGGGTATGCTTAATACAAGTAATGATTGGTGGAGTGTTTTGTTACTTTGACTTTCTACTGAGGGTAGGCCAATATGCCTCGTCCCTGTCAAAGGTGATATGGATATTATTTGGTGTTGGCACGCTGCATCTATGCAAGCTATTTTAGAACTACTATAAAGAAACTAGAAAAAGAAAATGGGCAACATGCTTTAGAAAAACACGTGGACACCCACATTGCCCTTGCTCTTTGGCATGTTCAGATGCTAATGACTAAATTTCTCCCAAATCTAGATGTGTACATGAGTCTGAACACCAGTCAAGGATCCATGCCGAGTCCAAGCAACATTGTCACAATTTATGTATTATGTGCTTCTTGTGAATTAGCTCCTCTCCTGGGGGTGAATAAAATGGCGGCAAAGATGGCTAATATGTATACTTTGCTACTCTGCAGTGTACTCTTTTATGTTGTCTTATTTGGTGTTCTCATGTGTTTGCAGACCTCTTGTGGAGGGTGGCAAGGCCCCGCAGAAGTACATCAAATATTCGGCAGAGGATCTTGAACGTATGTTGGGCGAGTTTTTCGAGGGAAAGACGAATGAGCCGAGGCGGTAAATTCAGAGATCCTATTTAGCTGGAGGACTGTCGGAAATGATTCTACTTCTTTCGTTCGTTTTCTGCTGCCGGAAATTACACATTCTGTTCCGATGCTAAGTGGCTTAGACGATGCGAGGTGTTTGCTGTATGTTTCATGGCCGGCGGTAGCGGAGCACTTCCTCGTTGCCGTCAAAGCGTGAGAGTTGAGGGAAGCAGAATAAAGATTTACTGGAGGCGTGGAATTTTGTGTATATCTGTGAATAAGCTATTGCCGATGTTAGGATCAACTGAGCCTGAATCTCCTCGGATTGTTATGCCATGTTGCTCCGTCCGACAACATTCGGCATTTAGTCAGCCGAGTAATCGGTTTGTAAAGATCTGTTTGTGCTAATTTCAGTATATTCAGGATGAGAGTTGCTACGACCCGCATCATATGGATCCGAGTTACGGACGATCATGTGCCTCATGGCTCGACCTCACGAGACGCGAATTGCCCATGAACGAGCTTGGAAAAGATTTTCCTTCTCTAGGAATCGACCTAGATGGTTGCTCGCCTAGTTAGGCTCGCCCGAGCTCGATTGCATTCGTATCAGAATGATATTTCTTCCTTAATCGTGGGAGGGTTCGGGTTATGAGTACGGATTTTGTAAGTCGTTGAAGAAGTTGTACGCAACGACGTGGATAAAATCAATTATGAAGTCAATTATAAGGCAAGCATATGCGAACTTTCTCTCTTTTTAAAATGTATATAATAGTGGATTTTGTTAATCGAATGCCTGGAATGCCCATGATGAAATCAATTGAGCAAAATGTTTCACTTTTCAATGCGATGATTGACTCATGTTAAGCACAATCATTTAATTGGAAAATCGCATCATTCTTTTTTAACGTCGTTCCAGGGTTCTCGAAATTATAACAACAATTGTTAACTCAATTCATTAAAATTAAAAAGAGAAAAAGAAAAGAGAAAAGAAAAACCACTTGTGTATAAATTATGATGATAAAGTTTGTCTGAACCGTTGTTCACGGTAAGACTCGGGATGAGCGGTGATCCGGTGACTTCTTCTTGCATGATTCTGGTAAATGCTTGCACGACAAGGAAGCCGTATGAACAGTTCCTAGGACTTTGAATTGAAGACCAAATTTAAAAAAAAAAGAAATTTTTAAAAAGGGCAGTTTGCGGACAAACGCTGGCCACATATGCGCGCCATTTGGAGCCACGAGTAGTAGCCTCCTCCTCCTCCTCCACCTCTTCAAGGCCGTTACTACATCTTCGTCTTCTTCCTCCTCCCGCTCCGCCCTCGCTCTCGCACATCGCGACGCCTGCTCCCTTCTAGCGCGACGAACCTTCGAACCCGCCGCCCTATGGACGACGACGCTCCTTCGCACGGTTTGTGGTTTCCATATTCTCTCGCGCTTTCCTTCCCATCTCCTTCGTCGTCCGGCCGGCCGGTCGGGATTTTTTGTTTCTTGACTTTTGTGATTCCCTTTGGTGGTTTTGTCGGATCGCTGAAGGAGGTAAGGAGGAGAACAAGATGGATCAGATGAGGGAGTGCCGCGGCAAGGAAGCGTGCGAGCTCAGCCCTCGGTCGGAGCGTGTCGCCGATCGCATCCTCCCCCACATTCTCAACTTGTGAGCTCTGCTTCTTCCGCTGTCGACGGTCTCTCTGAGTCTGTTCTGCTCTGCTCTGCTCTGCTCTTTACTTTTTTTCGGAATGTTGTTATACGGCACAGCGAGCACGGTCCTTGACCATCGTTTCTTATTATCGTCGAGTGAGTTTGAGGGAGGTGCGAGTTTGATTAGTTGATTGGTCCCGAAGCACGAGGTGAGGGCGGTTGTGATTGCTGCATGGCCGACCCTCGAGGCCCGTGATTGATGACTGCATCGTCGTGCACAAATCAATCAACTTTGTTCCTTCGATAGTTTGAGATGAAAGGCCTAATTTTTGGAGGTCTTTCTCCGTGATCTCGCTGCGAGACGATTTGTTTCTTTTCTCTATGCCCGTGTGCTGCCGGCTTAAGGTGTCGATGCTTGAAGAGAGACATTATGCGGTTCATTTTTCGGAATTTGTGGATGTTGGAACGTGTGTTTCTTTTCTATCTTTGTGGATGTTGATCTTTCAGAATTTCCATCCCTAGAGCTTCATTTATCATCGCTTGGATTCGGTGGAATTTAGTTCTGACATACCAGTTTCATTGCTTTCTACTTGGTTCCATCCTTAGTGTGTTTTTGTGTTGTTATTAGATATGCTTCTCGTGCCACTCCTCGTGACTTCGAGATCTATGCTGATGACGCTTCTTTTGAAGACCCACTCATGTCTGCTCATGGGTATGTTTTCTTTTGTACCATTTAACCCTGGTTCCAAATAATTTAGTCTCTCATTCCTCGAGATCAAAGCTTTGTAAGTTGCTTCTGCTCAAACTAACAGCCATTACATTATTTGGACAGAACAAACATGTCTCAACTATATTGTATTCTCATATTATTCGAACTTGTCCTTTTACATGTACGTGTTATCATCGGAATTGAGGATTTTGACAGAACAATGTTGTGAATTTTGCCTCCTATTTTTCATTATATCAATTTCATGAATTTGGTGTGGACTTGTCATGTTCAATGGTGTACATGAAAGATGAGTTCATCTGAAAGAACTTGCAAAGATGTAACACTGGTTATCAAAACAGTTTCTTCTACCTCCCAACAACAAGGATATTTTAAGGCATTTTGAAGAGCTTAGCATCTAATGCGTGTAGCTTACTAACTCTTACTATCCACTGCACAGGTTGAGGCAGATCAAGTCAGCATTTTACTCTATAGCAAAGGTTTCGTTAGCTCTTTCTTGATTGCTTCCTTATCATATTATCAAGTACCATTTTTTGTTTTAAGAAAGAGGACACTTGATGCTAAGCAATATTCTGGGCGACATTTTCTTTGGAAAAATTATTCTATTTATTATGACAACTGGAGCTTTTAATGAAGGATTGTCAATTTCTTTTAAATACATAGAGGAGGCTAGGAGATGACGCTCACATACTTTCCTCTCTGATGCATGTATGGCTTTGAAGAATGAATTGCTCACATCAATTTCACTGGTACTTGTTATAATTGGAATAAATCTTCAAACTTGACACTCGTGGTGGTGTTCAGTAATATGTACTTATGAAGCGAGCCTTTACCTTCTATTGGAATCACCCAATATCATAATTTGTTTACTTCAGTAAGAACCTTTGTTTTCCACGGTGGTGAAAAAGTTGTCTTGATTGCTCATTACTGTTGAACTTATGTAATGTTTGCAAATATATGGAGCAGGAATTCTTGTAGTGTTCTTAGTTATTACTAGCTAATTAGAAAGTCTATCATTGGATCTTAGCAGGGCGCATGTGTGTGTGTCCTCTGATCCTAGGGAATTGAAAGAAACTTCTCAGTCAGGGGATGAAACTGCATAGCCAGTAAAGTACTACTTCTTAGTTTAAGGAATAGAAGCATTTCAGCATTGGTATGATCTGCATCTACTTAGGCCCGATAGCTGCTGGTTCCCAGCTTCTAGTACAGATAATAATCCCAAAGAAGAGAGAGTTGCTTGATGTATTTCATTCAAAGGCAAGGGAGTTCACCCTGTATGCTTCTCTCCGACATTTTAGAGTATAAAGTTCGCTTTTTCCTTTCGGGGCATCTTGGAGTAAATCTCCGAAGCAATTTCATTTTGACCCTTTTAGCGAGGAAATAATTTTTTGGGTGCCTTGGTACTGTAACAAATCTACTAAAATTCGATACCCTTAAAATAAACAGGTGACGTCTATACGGTCGCATCAGCATTAGAAATAAATATTTTCAATTATGATTGACTGGTCTATAACTTGGGTGAACTGAGAGAAGGCTTCATAATTGTGACAAAGGATAGGTTTAAGCAATTAATGTTATGAAAGTTTGTGTTCCAGTTCTTGAAGATGCAGCAAAAAAAAGGGCTATATAATTGGTCACATTGAGATGTATTTACTCGAAAAGCAACCATTTATTCCATTAAAAAGCTTATTTTGGTAAATAACTACTGTTCTTCATTTTATGTAGGGACTCATCTCGTTCTTAAGTAATAAGCATGTGTACATAAACAATCATGTGCAAGTACACAAAATATTTTTAATGTATTTTCCCCTGATATGCAATTCTGTTTCGCTGTATCTAAATGATAGGTGTTCAGTGAATCGAAAATTGTTGAATACACCGTCAAAGAGAATTTGATATCACCAGGGAAATATGAGGTGAGTTATTTCGATTGCAAATGAAACAATTATTTCCTGGTCTTTGTTGATGTTTAATGTCGTATTGTATCCCTGGAAAATCCAGATACTTATTGACAATAAACAATACTACAAGTTTTTGGGGAGGCCTATAGATATGATTTCTCTCATCAGGCTGCATGTGGAGAATGACAAAGTTGTTCGTCATGAGGACTGGTACGCACTAAACTCTTCGCTCTGTAATGGCCTCGTACCTCAATAGGTTATTTCTCCTTAGGGGCACGCCAGTATAATGTCCAAAAAGAAAATGAAAAGAAAGAACTTTTTTGCTCAATCTGTCTGTGTTTCCATCCAAGCGTCAAGCGGACTGTTTCTAGGAGGCTCGGTAAATGCAGGTTCCCCAAGTCAAGTCGGTGGTTTCTAGGAGGCTCGGTAAATGCACGCTGGCAGCACGCCGGCCGCACGTCGGCTGCACTTTGGGGGAAATTGCGGTATCGGATATGGTTTGTTTGAATTTGGATCGCAGCTTGCTTCGATCTCGCGTTTGAGCTAAAGTGTGATTTGGTTTTGTTAGCATTTCACTTTTTGAGTGTAAATGTAGGAATTGGTTTGATTGTTGAATCTAAAAGAGAGAGATAAAGAAGCCACTTCCATGGATCTTCGGAGATGACTAGTCCCCTTTTGCCCCTCTTAGGACTCTGTCTCTCTCTCGATCTCTTCTTGACCCACGAACACATCACACGATCGCAAGTTGTGAGGATGGAGACATATCTAGGGATTTTGGGTCTTAGACTTTTTTTTGTGTGTAAATTTATCACCAAATCAGGACAGTTGTAAACTTCTCTCCTTATTTTAGAGGGTCCTAATGCTTAATTATCACCCATCGGTTTTCATACATGCAATAATCTCCACGGAATCATTCGCAAGACTCAAGAAATTCTTGTTTGGTAGTTTACACACGAGAGACGAGTGTAAGAATCCTACCTTTTTTTTTTTTACTAGAATTAAATTTTACAATAATCCAGGGACATGGAGTTATTAAGAGAGCATCAATACGTTAAGCATACTCAAGTGACAAATATTGCCTGCCCTTCTTCATCAGGCATGTATCAAGGGCCAGGCGTTGGAGAATATCGTCTATTAAAGAGGCAAATGGCTTTGCTTCTCTCATCACCAATCCACTGGAATGGCAAACCGGAAAGAAAATTGATGCTTTAATTTTGTGCTTGACTAGTAATAGGACGTTTTCGATGGTTTTGCTTCATGATTAGCTGTAAACTTGGGCCGTATTTGCAGATACAATGTCAATTTTCTTCTGCAATTGTTATACTAATAAATAATATTTTTATTATAAAAGAAGTGTGACCTATTGTTTGACTGGCCTCTTACCGATGTCAGTACTTCTATTTCTTTTTCTTTCTTTCAATTTTCTTTGGTTTTCCCTGTTTTTTTGTTCATTTTTTATGCGCGATATGCATATTCGTCTACCTGTGTCGATATGCCGCTTGATCTCAACTACTTAGATCAAGTATGTTACTTTCTGCATTCAATTGTGTAGGTGGGATAAGAAGCCTCTCAAGAGCAGAGACACTGTCAAGATTCCCATGGTAGGCATAACTCTGGAAATGCTTCGCCGGGGTTCAATGATGGCAACTCATGCTATGATGGGGTTTGGGAAGGATCCCACCATGTAAATCAACTCTTGAATCTGAACAGAGAATTTCTTTACTCCTATTAAGGTGTGTGCAGACAAGTTGGTTGTGGTTTTTATAGCTAGAGAAAGTATACAAGCAAATTGTGTGGTGGTGGAGGTTATTGCTTGAGAATGTGAACAAGCACCCAGTTACGCAACAACTCTTAGGTTTAGGTAGAGTCACTCCTCTGGCTTTCAGAGGATTGAGATCTATTTGTGGGCGAATTTTTGTTGACATTTTATAAGTATTAGCAACAAGCAGATGGTATTCTGGCACTTTACGATCTGCTTCTCTTTTTGTAGATGCTGCTCATATGATTACCCAGTATAGGATTCTCTCTGAACAAATTTATTCTATTTAATAAAACTGAATTTCCATGATGTTTCTTTATCAGCAGTGCTACAAATGTCATGCCCCATATGGATGATATAGATAGCTTGTTCTATCACACAGCTCGTTAATTACATATGAGAAAATTATATGCATGTTATGCATTTTGTCACAAGTTACTCGTCAAACATAGATGAAGTGGTGGCTACTCATGCACATTTACTTCTTTTTGACTTTGGGTTATATGTAGCTCCTGTAGTTGGACTACTTGGTTTCCAGGAAGTCAATGCAGTGTCAACGTTATGTTATGATTAGGATTGTGGCTAGACAGGGACTTCGAAATTGCATTCCCTGTGAACTTTTAAGCACTTTTAGGCCGAAAGTGAGGCAAGATGGGATGGGGGTGTTGGGCCATGCAGTTCGTCCTCCACCCCAGTTTGCCTGTGCTGAAGAACTCTGAAGCCATTAATGGATCAAATTTCCTTTCTTTTTAGCCAGTTCGTACCCTTTTTGGGTTATTGTGGGGCATCCATCTCCGAGATGTAGAAATCAGTTCATATGGCCACATGTGATATTGCCGGGATTGAATGGTGACTTAGTAGACTTGTATTTGTATCAGATGATGCTTGATCTAGATTATGGACAATTCTGAAACAAATGGTAATGATAATGACATTTTCTTCTTCTTTTTGCCGATACCTCGCCTTCTTCCAGTGCGAATAACATGATATAATTGCCTCATTTGGTTCAAGAGTCTGCATTTTTGCGTTTCAAGAAAGAAATACCAAACTATAAATATTTGTCTTGTCTCTGTATCTCTCCTTGTTGAAAGCACTGGGCATATTGTATTTTATTGAAGATACATTGATTTTGTGGGCGAATCCTGCTTACCCAACATTATCCACTAATGCTTCGGAGTCTAGATGTGAAGAGAAGGTTAAGGATAATCCATAGGCCATGGCATAGTTCTGTTATTTGTTGGGTAGTCGACGCCACTTAATACAATATCTGCAATGTTGTGTGGTTAACGACAGATCAGACTGCGGCTTAGTGCCATGTTTTTGGTTTTCATTCTCAGCCCCATAATTAGTATGGTCTCGTAAAATTATGATCCGATGAGGATTTCCAAGACCTTAAATCTAGCTTCCTTCTAAGATAAGATCCCGCTTGAAACCATGATTTTCATGTTAAAACGAGCTCTATCTATCGTGGGCATCATTGCTTGTGACTACTCCTGCTCACCCCATGCAGTGTTAAGAAAAAGGAAAGTCTGTTAACCATTTCATGCTCCTTAACTTCTCCTTCCATTGAGAGAAAACTGAGCAAAGAATTAGAAAAGTATGCGAAGGTTTTTGAATTTTTTTTTTTGTGTGTGTTGTGTTGAATGGTGAATTGGCAGGAGAAGAAACTGGAGCTTGGAGGTGTACATCATACCTTTGTTAGTGGGTAGGTGTGTCAAAAGTGAGCTGCTGCTGAAGTATGTATGACCAAATGCTTTTGGAACAAGGTCAGAAACACAAGTATACCCTATTCTTGTGTGTACAGTCCTTTTTTGACTGGTCGTCGACACTCTCTGATCTATTAGAACCAAATCTCTCTCTCTCTGGATGCTTTAGAGAATCAATGCACATTATCCATCCATTAAAGTATCTGAGAATCATATTATATAATGAAAGTAATGATTGGGGAATCCAACAACATTGTTCTTCAGGTGATGGGCCAGGCTCAGAGAGAGAGAGAGAGAGGGCAATAATGGATGGATAATTGGGTTGGGGGCATAGGGATCAGAGAAATCCCTTACTTTCATGCAAAAATCAGGCATTTAAGCAGAAAAGAAGAGCTTTCTTTTATCGGTTGATGATGGGCGGTGACACCTTTAAGAAGCAGCAGCCGTTGCTTGCTTTCTTCTTTTCCTAAAGACTGCACAAAGTTGATGGGGTAGAAACTTTGTCTCCATCCCCAAATCTTTTCCTTTTCTTTCATTTCCTTCTCCTCCTCTTTCTTCTTTATAATTTAAATTTTTAACCCTGATCGTTGGCATCATCTCTTTCTAGTGGGGTCTCTCTCTCCCTTTCTCTCCCTCTAGATTTTGTGGCGTGGAAGCTTGTCTGATGTGAGATGAAGTTCAAGTTTTTGCCAAAATTGAAAGGAGGAAAAAGAGAAATAAAGAGAAAGATGGCAATGCCCTTGGAAAGCAGGAAGATTTTGAATGCTTTAAGAGATCGAATGAGCCACACACCCCCCCATAGAAAGAAGTGCATTCATATATGCTTCTTTTTTAATCCACTTTTTTCCTCTCCTTCCCTTTTCATATCTAATCATTTATTTCCCCACCTCAGATTTCCATCCCCCGAACATTCATCTCCTCCTAAACGGCTGTTTAAGTGGGTTTGCTATCACATGCATAGAGAAAAAACCCTCCTCAAATGTGCACACAAAGAAAACCTCATTTTTTCTCCACCACAAAATCCCAAATAAGATATTGATTCACACGCGATGCATATGAAGGTTCGACTAATGAACGATGGTAGCTGATAAGAACAAAGAAGATTAGCATATGCGACATGTAATTGCTAATCAAGATGCCGAAATATGCACCGCATTAAACTTGATTATTCGACCGTATCATTGCAAGCGCCACCATCAAAGATGCCATGGGCGACAGATGGTAAATGGTAATTAATTAGGGATTAATCTTGTGGATAAGTCTGACACCAGGTTGATGATGCATGGTGTACCCTGAAAACTTGATAGTATGTTTGATGCTGATTTTTAGTCTACTTTGCTAATATTTTCCATTTCCCATGAACAACACAGCACAACACAAGCTCCTGTAGTGATAGTTATGAGACGCCAAGCACCCACCACCAAAGACCACAAAGGGGTACAAGGTGTACGAACAATTCCACGAGAACACCAAATAGATGTCACCAGTCAGCTCTGATACTGTAAAAGGACTTGAATTTTCATTGGGTGGAGCCGATCTATCCCTAGAAAACGAAGGCTCCGTTTATCTAGCGAAAGATGCATAATTTGAAAAATATTTTTCTTATAAATGATTTACTTGTATCGCTTATAAAAATGAATAAATCAAGAATATTTTTATGATTCACGAAAAAATTTAGACATAAAATGTTGTCGATGATGAAAATATTTTCCATCGACAAAAAAATGAAGCGATACAAACACTCATTTTTAAAAAAATATTTTACAAATCATTCATTTTCCGCTAAATAAACGAAAATAATGATTGTTGAGTACAATTATTTCCACGTTATTCTTGTACTATGAAGACATTCTGGCTGTTGACAACATGAACATTGTGATCAAATTCAGATAATGATGAGGTGGGAACCTAAGCAGCACTATGGTCTTTAGCTTTTCAGAATGGTCTGAACACCACAGAATAGCCGAATTCTTTAGTCCCAATGCCGTTCTTGATGTCGGCTACTTTAGCTAAAACCCAATAATGATCAAATCAATCTCTAGATTATAACCTAATCTCCTCACCTTTTAAAAGTGGGTTAGCCCCCAAAAAAACAAAAAACAAAAGGGGGTGCAAATTAAAAGAGAAAAAATCAAAACAGTCACCGAGGTGATGAGAAAAAGCAAGTACTACTTGCAAGAAAGGAATCTCTCTCCCTAAGGCAAAGTGAAATTTGAACAACTTCACTTTCTATGGTTTGAGGCCTTTAGTGGCCTTTCTCTTTTCCCCTCAATGGGAACAGAGCTCGAGGCCGTGTATACACATACATACACACACATAAATATATAAATATTTCTTCCATGTGATGAAAAGCCCCACTAAATTGCTTGTGAAAGCTCGGAAAAGGGCGGTCAAAGGCATTTTGGCTGGGGAAAAGCGCAGCTGGTCTTGACCGGTTTGGGATTTTGTTGTATGAACCTGAAGATTTGAGTTGGAACTTTGCAGAGTTGCAATATAAATATTGTGGTAGTAGCCACGTGGTTTTGTTGACCAGTGAGTGACCGAGGATGAGGGTTGTGGAACGTAAGAGTGTGTGTGCATGCGAGGCGACGCGAACGTGAATAAGCAATGAAGTCACTTTATACAATTTGTAGGTACTAATTTCATGTAAGTGATCGCCTCCATCTCGATAAGAAAGTTTATTACGATGCGTGAAACTAGTCGATGTGTCCCCTAGAGGCGGACCTTGAAGTTATAGGGTCGTCAAACCCATTATCGCTTCCTATATTTTTATAAAGTTTCTATCTATTGGCTCTTCGCACTAAAATTTCATAATTTATAATTATCCCGTTCTCTTTAATCTGAAAAGTTTGCATTTGTCACGACCGCCTTATTATGATGGGAAAAAGAAAAGAAAAGAAAATATCTCGGCATCCTCCACCTCTTTGAACCTTGCCTTCCCTCCCTACATTTCCACGGGAAGCATGACTCCCCATTCACTTCCCTTAGTTTATATTTTGTTTCTGGCCAAGTGTGAAAAATTCCTTAATTGACGTGTTCCTAATTGCACTTTTTCTTGCTTTAAGCTTTTCGGATTCCAAAGTTAGGACATCTTTTATGGTCTTAAAGACAGGATGCTTCTCCTTGTTTTCCACAAATGTGATCTTTCATTCTCTTTTGAGCTTCTTCTGATCATGCCCGCCATATCTTTTAAAAGATGAGAATGTTGGGTCGAGGGTTTTGAAATCATCAAGCAATCTTAAAGTTAAGATCGCCATCGATCTAATGAAAAGTGGTCTGCTTTTTCCAAATTTCAGTGGAAGAGAAATTTTTCAATTTTTCTCCCCCCCCCCCCCCCCCCTACTAAAGTTGCTTTCTTGATTTTCCTCTTGCATAGCTCATAAGTAATGAATCATAGTTATTTGCTTTTCCTCTTTGTTTGCTAGGCTTCCAACCCCTATTCATTAGCAAAAAATGCACTGGTTAGATTGGTAAAATCAAGTGCAAACTTACCACGAAACTGACAAGGCGACGGCTGGTCGAGGTGCATGTATATCGACCGTCCTAACACTATCTGAAGTTTATTATTTATCAATGAAGTACTGCCTTAGTGAATATTTCTATTATCTTCCGAAATCGATTCTCTTCTCCGACAACTCTCATCGAATACTGTTAATAGAGATGCTCTCATCAAATAGGATGCTCATTCAAAGGAGAGGGTACAGACACACATTCAAAAGACACTTTCACCACCGAGTCACGACACAAGCCTTCTGACTATTTCTATACCTTCTGGGAGATGGGTTGGCTTCATTTGAGGGATAAATTGAGCTAATTATAAGTTAGATCAACTCAATGTTTCCAAGTATATATTTATCGTTTCGCTCGAAGCACATTAACATTTAACATCGGAGTTAAATTATGCCGTGACCTTGATTTTGCTGGCTTAGATGGAACACAATGTACATTCAATAACATTAGGAATCGAATACGAAATTGGATTGCTTAGACCAAAGAAAACCCCCAATTAAAGAAATCATATATTACATGACATGAATAGAAATTAAGATTCTATCCATCCACCTACTGAGTATTAATACTATACAACTGCTAAAGCCAACAAATCCAATCCCCATGCAAACACTCAAATAATTCTCTTAACTCTCTTTCGATGTGTATTCTTCCTTTGCCCCTCCCCAAAATTCTGTCAAAAAAGCTAAACAAGAAAGTAAAAAAAATTGAAAATTGGACCAACGGTTAGATCATTTTGGTCTTGCTTGCCTACATCATAGTTCTTGAACTTTGAAGATGATCTTCTTATCAACCAAACCCATAATCCAATTCCCATCTCCACAACTTTGATCACCATCATCTTCAATGGCCACATTCAAATCTAGTGACTCGCTGATTGGTTTCGCCGTGTCAGCTTGATGATCGTCCTTCTCTTCCTCCTCTTGATCTACAATTATCTTTTGCCTCCTGGTTGGAGAGCAAGCTCTTGACACAGTACTGAAGCTTTCACAGCTGAAGATCACAATAGCATCCTGAAGATCCACGGCCACTTCTTCTTCATCATCATCAAGTGTTACTTTCCCGCTTTCAATTGCTTTCTTGACACCCATTTGAGAAAAGTGATCAGCTTGATCCAAGTCCTCCAAGAAAAACACCCTATGTGGATTCTCATTCACCGCCTCACCGAATCTTTGTAGATACCCACGACCCGTTTCAGTTCTTGGTCTCTTGTTCTTGCAGTGCTCGGTTGAACCTGATCCTCCTGCTGAGGAGGAGAAGCTGGTCAGACCAATTGAGACAAAGTTGGTTTGAGAACCAAAGATGGTCTTGGCCAATTCTCTTGCAATCTTCTCCTTGCCAAGAGAGTCAATTCCCACAAAGAGCATCCATGTCTCTTCTTTCTTCTGTCTGTCTTTCAAGTCGTAACTTCGCCTTCCGGATCTGTGGACAGATAATATTCCGATTTAGAGAAATAATACTACATTTTCTATGAAGGTTTGTATCCATGCGCAGCAAACGGACTTGCTTAAACTCAATGAAAGTGTATCACATAACAATAATGTAATGAGCAAGTTATGTAGTAAAAGTTCTTAGCTTACTTATCATGTCCCTTTATTTACTATGAAGGTTTGTATAGTTGCGCTCTCCCGTATGGTTAGTATATAAATAGATAAACTACTTTTAGAAAAGAATTTGGCTGAGCAAGGGGAGTAAAAATAAGTGCCTTTATTTTGATAAACTCGTTATTAAACAAAATAAGTTAATTATTGTAGCTGTATAGCTTTTTTTTTATTTTCTATTTTTCGTCTGGTTTGTTAATTTCATTGATAATTCTGTATCTACGATTTGAAACCTAATACAAAATCATTATTTGCATCGTTACCTGCACTCGAGGACAGTTTTTGCAATCTCGGGAACGACATCCTTGTGCCACGGGACCTTCATCTCCAATGCATCGCACAAGACTTTCAGGTTCTCGGCGCTGTATTCCTTGAAGCTATCAGTATTGTTCATGTCCTCCATCACTTCGCTGGATGAAGCTGAGTTAGGACTCGAGTTAGGATTTGACAAAAGGTCCGGTTTCGGGTTGTTCCTCTCGGTCGGGATGAACATTTTCACATCGCTCTCATCATTCTTGTCGTCGTAGCTCGTCTCGGGAGTCCAAAACTGGTGCTCTTTTGGCGATGACTGCTTGAATTCTAACAAAGTCGGCCAGCTGAATTGGCTCTGATGACGCAGCGAAGAAGACAGCGATCTTGGAGAAGAAGGCGTTGAAGAGAACTTGAGGACTTTCTCAGGATATTGTAGTTGGTGTTTGTGAACTGCACTACAGTATGTGTTCCACTTCTTGCAGAGACTCTTGATATTGACACAATTCTGCTAAATTAAGGAGAATGACAGTATTTTTAGCTTCATTGTCATTATTTAGGAGATATCGATGTCCAAAAATGAAATATATGTATAATTACCTGAAAATTGACAGTATCTCTGGTCTTCTCATCCTTGTATTGTTGGAGCCATGAAGGGAGGCTTGAGCTGCTTGAAGTGTTAATGGAGTCTAACTTGTTCCTTACAGTTTGGACTTCCTTGTCAAAGTTGAGCATGCAGTCGGAGCAGCATGCGAGCTGGTTATTACTGTGTCCTCCATTAATATTCGCAAACAGTGACCAGCTTGACTCTTCTTTGGCTTCCTTGCATTTCACCTCAGATTGCCAATCACTGAAATTCAATAATCCACTATAGTAAAGCACTCCATCCAAAAGGGAAAGAGAACGTATAACAATCTCACGACGCTTTTCTTTTGATAGGTCTATCAGGTTATTCTGGCGCCGTCGTAAAACCAATTTATTCTTTTCTTTGTTACGATAAACCTAGCGAAAGAATAGGTAGAGTAAACTGATAATGTCCTCAAATAAAATGAAATAAAAAAGTACTTACCAGTCAAAATTGAGAGTCAAGCTGAGGCTCCCAGCAGGGACAGTGAGAGGGTGAAGCTCCCAGACAGTCTCCAAGGAAGGATGGCCTGCTTTGCACTTCATGTATGTCCTCAAAGTGGCCACACCCAACAGCCACACCCTTTTGTTCACCTCCCCGACCCCACCACCACACACCCATTTCTTGATCTCCATCACTATGTGCTCCAATGGACAGTAGCTATAGCTCATCATCATTCTCCTCCTATGCTCCACAAAGTTCAGCCACATCTCACACACACCTTGCACATCCCCCAAGTAGAGAACCACCCCGGAGGACCTCCCAACACAGTTCTTCACAACCTCTCTCAGCTCCGCAAGCTTCTGCTCCACCTCATCCCTAGAGGAGTTCCTCATGGACAAGATTGGGAGGCTCATGAATTGGATTGTTGGTGACCTCATCGTTAATTCAACACCTGAGCCATTACTGTGTCCTCTCTCAAGCTTTTCATTGACCCCTCTCACCACTGCCTCTGCACTGGCCACGCACTCTCCCACCACAATTGTGTTCCTCCTCTTCCCCATCATCGCTTCTATCACACTTGCAACGTCGCTGGCGCGAGCTGGCTCAGCTGGCTTGTTATTGCCCTGAGGCCCGGCAAGACCTGAGTGCAAGGATAGAGACACATTGGATGACCCAAGAGCAAGGGGTTTGGGATTATTGGAAGTGTTGACACTTTGATCTTTAGGGTGATTGTTTGGTGCTTTTGAAGGTTGCGAGCAGACTTCCATGGAGACAGCTTGCTCTACTCTATTCTTGACTTGGGTGCTCGAGAAGCCAGCCTCTCTCATAACCCGGCTCACGCTCGGGTCATCCAGGATCGAGATGATCAGCTGCTCGACCTCGATCTTGAGGGCTAAGATCGGCTGCTGCTGGTTCTCGACCGAGCCACGGCGCTGGTGAGCCTGAGCCCTCTTGAAGGCGGCAACTAGGGCATTGGAAAGAGAAGGGTGAGGCGTGTGTGGGCTGAGGAGGGGGCTGGACGTGGAGGCAGGGAGGCGGTTGAGGGCAACATTGAAGCAAAGCTCCAAGGCCTTGCATTGAAGAGGGTGGGAATGAGATTGAAGGCAAGACCTTCGGAGAAGGCCGGTGGAGGAAGCTAACATGGCACTAGCAACATGAAGAGGAGTGACTTGAGCATGGCCTCTTCTTCTTGCTAGGGTCACTGCTTGCTTCACTAAGGTTGTTGCCTCTGGAGTGAGGGCTTGTGGTATAGTGCAAATCCCAGTTCTCATTGTTGTGTATCTTTCCGTAATCAACTGTGAATATATAGAAGAAGATGATGTTGAGGAGATTTAAATTTGGTGAGGTGGGTTTGAGTTTGTGAGTTTCATGGGATGAGGCATGCAAAGGATTGTTCTGGAAGTGTGTAAGCTAACAAAAAGAGAGAGTGGCTGGTGCATATATGCATGTGTGAAGTGAAGAGGTGTGAGTGAGATTTTATGGCAATGGAATGGGTTTGTTCTTTTCTTGTGAGTGAGGTAAGAATGTCTGGTTTTTTTTTTTTTCGTGTGTATCTGAAAGTGGATTGCATGTGATGTAACTTTTGCCCCCCTCTCTCTCTCTCTCTGAAATGGAGGCTTTTTGCTAAATACATATTGCAAAAGTTTTATGGGTATGTGAAAGCTAGTCTCCTCTAATAGTGGGAGAGCATAAAATATATTTAGAAGCAATAAAAAGCAACGCCAAATACAAGTGGAACAATCACTTTTGGGTGTGCTTTATTTTGCTGATTTCTTTATCCTTCTTTCTTGTTTTCTTTGGCTAGTAATATACAAAAATAGAGAGATAAGAAAAGAGGGGAAAAAAAGGGAAAAGAGAAAGCGCGGTCTTCAAACAACGAGGACTGAGAGAAAAGAGAAGAGGACTGTCTGTCTGTTCGAAGGGCGGATCCATAAACTGTAGCTTGCTTTCTCTACTTTTTTCTCTTTTGCTCTGTTCTCGAAGAGGAATAATCACTTTGATGATTGATTGTGTTCTTTTATGGTCCTCAAGCCACCCTTTGATTGATTAGATTTCTTTGCATGAAACCCATGTAAAAAAAAAAATAAAGTTGGCTTTGAGGCTTCCTTTGCATCCTTCATGTAACTGTACTATAATTGCGAGTCATTTCCAGTCGGATAGAGATTTAGTCGGTGTTGCCAATCGATTAGCTTTCAAATCATACTTTGGGCATCTAAACCAATCTTTTACTATCAATCGATGTTAAAGAACAGTTAAATTTATCGTTAAGTAATTGTGACGATTCGTGTGTACGCGATTAATCGATGATTTTCATCCATGAGCTCCTCTTTTCAAATATCACACCAGAGCTTGATGTTATCAATTATCTTTAGTGTAAGGTTTTACATATGATTAGAATTGAACCCTTGTTTAGCATAACAATGCTCATCTCATTTATGTGTTCATATTTATAAGACTGAATAACTTTCTATGATGATGTGGCACTGGAAAGATTGAGCTAATTCAAGGGTCCATGTTAGCCCGAGCAGAGGACATGGGGCACTCTCTTACATAGGCAGCCCAACAACGTGGCCCATGTAGTCCTCTGGGTGTCGCTGGTTTATCTTTCCCTTCAAAATTTATATAATATATATATAAACACACATTAGAATTATAGTCGATGTTTATCTACAAATAAAAATTGTAATAATCTTTCAGTAGATATATATAGAGAAAATAATAGGTATGTGATGAATTCATAGTTCAAGTAATTCTATCCGAATATATTTGGCATTTTGCAACAACCTATCGTTAAAATACGCTTCTAATTGTTGTTACTCGAATTGAGTACGCATATATTGAGCACGTAGTCTCTTTTTTTTAATGACATTTTCTAGCATGCGAGACATCATTACGAAAGTTTAGCATGCTACTTATTTAGTTTGATAATCTACATGTACAGAGATATAGCTAGCTAATGACCCTACTTTTCATGGAAAAATAATTGCATTCTTATGTGATAAAGTTTGGAAGTACACACCGACTTGAAAGACACCAGATTAACATCGGATCGGCGATACAACATGGTTACTACATAATACACTTTGTTAATTTCAGATCGAGAAATCAACAACACATGTACATATGGTCAGAGTTAAATTAAATGCAAAATACATGTATAGTTGTGCGTATTCACGATTATATTGTTCATTGTAGTAATGTTGTTTGTACGATATTTTGTCTTGTCAAGTATCACCAAGCAGAGAGTTTTCTCCTCTTTCTCTCATCTTTACACAGCTTTCTTCTTCAACCTCCATTAAGAGGAGGATTTGAGCTAGATGTGTGGGAAAACACTACTAAAAACTCCAAACTATGTCACTTGTGATAAATTTGTCTTGAACTTTTTTTTGTGACACGAAAAATCCCAAACTATGCCACTTGTGACACATTTACCCCATAATACATTTGTCCATGGGCATTTTCGTCTTTTTTCTTTTTTCTGTTTTTTTTTCCTTTTTTTTTTCTTCTCTCTTCCCTCCGCCGTGGCCGGCGGAGGGAAGCCAGCGAGGGCTGCCCTCGCCGATGTTAGGGTTGGGCGAGGGCAACCCTCGCCGGGGCTGGCAAGGATCGCCCTCGCCCGACGTCGACGAGGGCGACCCTCGCCAGCCCAAGCGAGGGCAACCCTCGCCCAACGCCGATGAGGGCTACCCTCGCCCGCCCAAGCGAGGGCGACCCTCGCCGGCTTCCCTCTGCTGTGGCCGGCGGAGGGAAAGAGAAGAAAGAAAGAAAAAAACACAGAAAAAAGAAAAATACGAAAATGCCCATGGGCAAATGTATTATGGGGTAAATGTGTCATAAGTGGCATAGTTCGAGGTTTTTCGTGTCACAAAAAAAAGTTTAGGGTAAATTTATCACAAATGGCATAGTTTGGGGTTTTTTGTAGTGTTTTCCCCTAGATGTGTCCTTCCTCTCCCTTTTTTTTTTCTTTTTCTTTGGCTGATTTGGTTCTTTGATCTGTTTTTCTTTCTTTCCTCCGGTTTGGCTGAGCTTTTCTCTTCTGATCTAATCTAGATCTGAAAGCTTCTACCTCCCATTTCAGGGAGTTTCTGTCTTGATCCATTCTAGATTTGGGGATTTTTGCATTTATGATTTCGTGTTTCGTTGGTGTACAGATTTAGTTTCAAAGGAGATCAGAAGAGCTTTATGAAGGTTTTACTCTCACAGGTGTCATATTTGTGGTATTTCAACCTTGCAATGCCGTAGCAACAAATGAACCTAGGCGTGCATAGCTGAAAGACAAAACCATAGCAACGGATAGAGTTCTTGATGTGTGCTTGTTACTAGCGATAAATTCGGTGATCGACCGCCAATTTTGTTTTGAAGAAATCACAGACCTATTCTTTGAGCGAGTGACTCATAATAATTCATCTTATTATCTGGAGCTTGTTTTGTTTTGAAGTTATCTAAGATTTGTCTTGGTTTACAGTTAAACTATTTATTTCTCTCTTGTATTGCTGTGGAAACGAATGAAATGTTATTTTGACAGCAAAAAAAAAAAGTACCACCAAGCAAATGAAAAATATACTTCTAGTTGCATAAAAATAAGGGAAATTAATTTGAAGTTAAAAAAAAATTAAGAGAGTGAGTAAAAAGTAAGAGTAAATGAAGGTGAGAGTAGCATCTTATACGTGGTCAAAAAAATTGTCAACCCACCCTCTTTGATGTACTGCTAAGATTACCATATGTCCAAGTTATCTCATTTTGTAAAGGGGTAAACGATACAAACAGTCCATGAATTTTAGTTCATGTGCAATATAGTCCATGAACTTTTAATTTGTTCAATATAGTCCATTAACTTTAGCTTAATGTTCAATGTGGTCCCTGAACTTTTAATTTGTTCAATGCGATCCATGGACTTTTGGTACATGTCCAATGTAGTCCCTGAACTAAAATTAACATAAGGATTACATTGAACATTTTCATATAGTTCATAGACTAAATTTAACATGTTCCAAAAGTTTAGAGATCACATTGAACATTGGGTTAAAATTTAGCGGTTACATCGAACAAATTAAAAATTCATGGACTACATTGCATATTGAGCCAAAATTGAGTGATTGTTTGTGTCATTTTCCCTTTTTTAAAAGACCATGCTTGGTCTTCGTCTCTACTATTCATTTTTTTTCCTTTGTCTTTAATATCCGTTCCTGCAAATCCAATTGCTTCAGTCGTGATTGCCATCTCTACTATTCGTGGAAGATATCGGTTTATAACCCTATTTGTTTATACTTGTTAGTTAAGAAGCACCAGTCAAAATTTAAAGTATTATTCGAATTTTAAAAAATTATGAAAAAAAAGTATCCGTGAATCTGCGGGGTGACAGTTGTACATTATGAAATTTTCGAGGGTTTCGAGCTATTAAAAAAATGAAATAAGTGCATTGGAAGTCCTAAAACTTGTCACGAAAGTGCAATTTAATCCTAAAACTTTCAAAAAATTAAGTCCTAAAACTTATTGCAAAAATGTAATTGAGTCCTGAAACTTTCAAAAAATGCAATCAAGTCACAAAACTTGTCCAATTAGTCCAATTAAGTCATCATTCCGTTGATTGCATTTTTGAAAGTTTTAGGACCCAATTGCATTTTTATGACAAGTTTTAGGACTTGATTACACTTTTTAAAGTTTTATGACTCAATTACACTTTCGTGACAAGTTTTAGGACTTAATTACACTTTTTGAAAGTTTTATGACTCAATTGCAATTTCATGAGAAGTTTTAGAATTTCCGATGCACTTATCCCTAAAAAAATTAAAGTACGTTCGTCGAAAGATTTAGGATAGGAAAAAAAAAACAAAAAGTAGAAATCTGCCCAAACAAGCCAATAGCATAATTTTTGGTCTTCTGTTTTTTTTTTTTAAGTAGGGTTGGTTTAAATGTAAATAAAGATATATAGAGCATTGAGTGGTAAGTAAGTGTCATCACAATACTCTTCAACATTTTCCACTGCTCCGCAAGCACTACTCTCTATGCATTTCAACCGTTGGATTGAAGGTAAATTGTAACTTGGGGATTGCTCCCCGAGCATTCAGAGATTTCCCGAGCAAAGATTAGAGACTTTAATGCAAATTTTAGTGATTAGAAATAGAATCTGCATGACTGCAGTTGGGTTGAACCAGAATCAGCTGAGTATCATGGTTCTTCCTTTGGCTAGAGTTCCCATAATCAAACTGGAACAAATTAGCAGAAACTAAGGCACAAGAAGAGCTAAAGTTTCATTCACCAGAAAAATTGCCTGATGCCTTCCATTAATATACATTGAGGCCCTGTTTGTTTCTTCTAAATTTTGTTGTTTTCTGCATTGTATGCTTGTTCTTGGCATTTGATAATTTACTGCAAGTCTTCTCTTTCATAAAACTGACTAGAAAGAGCTCAACGGTGATGAGGCTAGCTCTGAGAACAGGACAACGGGTTTGACAGTCACCAAAGAAAGAGGAAAACATTGATCACTTTCCTCAGGATGGCGCCATTTTTGTGCAAATCTGGAGAACAGAGGGGAATGTCTTTGGGTTCTGACAAAAAAGAAAAGAAAAGGAAAATGGTTGAAAAGTCAAAGGAAGCAACAGCGGATGCTCGGCTCATTTTAAGACCGAGAGCATGCACATTAACGGGAAGAGAAAGAGAAGCTCGCCGAGAAAGAAAAGAAAACGAGAGAGGGAAAGAGGAAGGAAAAAAGAAAAAAAAGAGGAGCACTCGCCACGGACTTCCCGCCCAGCCCATTCAACTTTGATTAGCAATTATTCGCGCACCTCGTTTAAATTCTAAATTTTGAGAAATTCAAGCCGCGAAATCTTATTTTTAAGTCGTTGAGCTACGTATATATATATAATTGATAATTTAGGGTGTCATAGAACCGTGAGATTTTATGGATCTTAATTTGGATTTACGTTTGCCCGAAATGAATTTTTGAAGTTGAGTGCGCGTGGTGAACACTGCGCGACCAGCAGCTTTTAGGCCGATTTTCGTCGGTTTTCGGCTCGATTTTAGGACGGCCAAGTTGTGGGTCTTCTAGTGTTTCGAAAGATCTTCATTTTGACCGTAAGATCGCTTGGAACAGGGTTCGGGTGAGAGATTTATGGCACGACCAAGTTTTGCGTTCAAGCTTCGCGTTGCGAACGGCTTTGAATAATCGCCTTGGACGAGCGATTTGTGAGCGTGTTTGAGACATTTTGATTAGCATCTAAGTTTGGTTTAGTCGAGTCGTTAGTGATAATGGTGTTTTACTTAATGTTGATGTCGATTCTCGTTTAATTGATAGGATTACGAGATCGTCAGCGAGTTTAACCACGTTGTTTGGTTATGGGGCATTCCCAGATGAGTGGTGCTATCTTTTCTTTGAGTTTGTAAATTCATATTTTGAAAATGAGAAGTATGGGCATATCATGTGCAAAGTGTGATTTGGCTAAAAGGCAAATGTGATGTTCATAGAATATTCGATGCATAATTTCGGATCGGGTATTTACTACTTTTGGCAATTTGTGAATGATTTGGGAAATGTTCATGAAAAACGTTTCTATCGAAACATTACTAGTTTATGAAATGAATTCCGAAATGACGTGAGAAATGTCTTGTGATATTATATTATGTCTGATGAACGAAGTTGGGAAAGATGATATATTTTGGGTTTGCGAGACCTTTTTGTGAAAGAATTACATTGACTTTGAGTGTGGTTTATGAAAGGTGATATGATTCGGTTTGTGAAATCGATTGTGATATGGACTAGTAAAGGGCTAAGAGCTACGTGATAACGTAAATTCATGGGAGCCACCTCTAGGGCCTTATATCATTGATATGTGTTAGTGACACTACAAAAAAACTGGATTTTTGCCACGAAAAAATTTTCGTCGCAAATTTGCAACAAATTTTCCAACGAAAAGTAAAATTCGTCGGAAATTAACAACGAAAAATTTTTCGTTGCAAAATTCGTTGGAAATTTCCAACGAAAAATTTTTCGTCGCAAAATTCGTTGGAAATTAGTGACGAAAAATTTTTTCGTTGGAAATTTCCAACGAATTTTGCGACGAATTCAAAAAAACCTGATATTGTTCGGCATTTTTTAAATTCGTGGGAAAATTCGTTGGAAATTTCCAACGAATTTTCCCACGAATTTCAATTTTCCAGGCAATTATTTTAGTGTGTACAATTTTCGTTGCAAAATTCATTAGAAATTAGCGACGAAAAATTTTTCGTTGGAAATTTCCAACGAATTTTGCGACGAATTCAAAAAAACCCTGTATTGTTTGGCATTTTTTAAATTCGTGGGAAAATTCGTTAGAAATTTCCAACGAATTTTCCCACGAATTTCAATTTTCCAGGCAATTATTTTAGTGTGTACAATTTTCGTTGCAAAATTCGTGGAAATTTCCCACGAATTTTGCAACGAAAACCATACTCCTTCCTTATTCAACATTTTCGCGCTCATTATTCCCGCAACAATTCTCAATTTCCACCAGCTATACATTAGGAGGTGAGTATCAGGTGTTCCTGAGTTTCAGAGGGCGCGACACTCGCCGCGGATTCGCCAACGTCCTCTACCACGACTTAAGAGATGCTGGGATTCATGTTTTTGTCGATGACGAAGAGCTTCGACCGGGCGAAAGAATTAGTGGCAACCTTTTGCGAGCGATCGATGACTCTAGGCTCTACATACCCATCTTCTCACCAAAATACGCTTCGAGTCACTGGTGCCTCCGCGAGCTTGCGAAGATTGTGGAGAACACCTCTGAATCTAGAAGAGAAGATGGGAGTGAGAAGGTGATATTGCCCATCTTTTATAACGTGGAACCTGATGATGTGAAGTTGAGGACCCAATTGTACAATAATGACATTCTGAATTTGGAGCAAATGATGGAGGATCAGAAGAAGAAGTTCAGCTCCCAGGATGTAGAGATGTGGCGGCAAGCTCTCAGAAGAGTTGGTGGCATCAGCGGGTTGGACTCCCAGGATTATACAGGGTAACCATTAACTGTGAATGCTAAGATTATTTTTTACAATCAAAAGGTAGATCTAATAAAAATTCATCAATTATATTCCAACTCCAATCTCGCTAAATTGAAATAAAAAGCCTCAAATTCTTTCTTTATTTATTTTTTATATCATGAGACATCCACATTTTTCTGACGTAATCTAATTATTATGATTTCGTTTTTGACCTAACTTTCATCGTATAAAATTTTGGCTTTGCTTCATCTTTGATTAATGTCTGGTCTAGAACTGTGTAGAGCTGGGCCTACGAAACTCAGGAAGACTTGTTAACTCCTTCAACGCTTGGATTATGGAATAGAGCAATGAGTTGCCTAAGATTTGGTACTTTGTTTGAGGTAGTTTGTTCACTATTTGGTTTTCTTGATATATTTTTTTATACTAGATGCATGACTTCTTCTTTCGTGGGTCAACAAAGAATAGTAGTAGGTCTTTTCGATAATATTTTAATTTCGGAAAATGATGGTGCTTAAGGATGAGCTATTTTACATTTGTCTTTTCAATGACATTTTATTTAACATAAATTTTAGCAGGCAGTGAGCACGTGCATATCACGTGCGACTTCCGTGCACGTGACGTGCACGAAAGTCGCACGTGACATGCACATTCTATTAATATGCCTCCATAGAAGTGAAAATGCGAAAATCCATTATCTCCTCCTTGCATAATCAACTCTTTGATGGATCAAGACCAAGAAGGGAGAGAGGGGTTGCTCTCTTCATCAATACAGCCAAAATGTGTGCCTGCATGTCTCGTGCACGAAAGTTGCACGTGAGATGCACATCCTATTAATATGCCTCTACGAAAGTGAAAATGCGAAAATCAATTATCTCATCCTTGCATAATCAACTCTTTGATGATCAAGACCAAAGACAATTTTTAGTTTTTGAATTTTTTTTTATCGTGCACTAGCACTATAGGTATCTGAATGATGATTCTTCATCATCATTCAGATACCTCTGATGATGATGAAGAATCATTCAACCAAGCCTTTGGAAGCTTGCCATGGCTTTCATTACCATTTAAAGACAAAAAATGCGAGAAGTTGATTAGGTACTTTGAGCTCTCGACCCTACCCACTCTGGTCATTATCGGTCCTGATGGGAAGACTCTCCAATCCGACGTTGCTGAAACCGTCGAGGAGCACGGCGTTGCAGCTTACCCATTCACTCCAGAAAAGTTTGCAGAGCTTGCAGAGATACAGAAGAAAAGGGAAGAATCTCAGGCCTTGGAGTCAATCTTGGTTTCAGGGGATCGAGATTTCGGCCTTGGAAAGGAAGGAACCAAGGTAAATTTGTTTTTCCTCCTAGAAACTAGTGACTTGGAAATTTTTATAGCCCTAAATTTCGTTATCCCTCGGGTTACTTGAGGTAACGAAAGGATTGAAACCAGGTCTACAACTAGGAAAATCCTTTTTGATATATGCTGTTTCACGTGTTTTTTCCATCGATTGGTGGTTCATGAAGTTGTTTCTTAACTTGGATTGCAGATTCCAGTATCAGACTTTGTAGGGAAGACTGTCCTCCTTTACTTCTCGGCACACCGGTGCCCTCCTTGCCGCGCATTCCTGCCAGTGCTAATGGAGGCATACGAAAAGATCAAGGCCAAAGACGAGGCCTTTGAGTTGATCTTCATTTCCAGCGACAAGGACCAAACTGCCTTCGACGATTATTTTGCTCAGATGCCGTGGCTGGCGCTCCCCTTTGGCGATGAGAGGAAGAAATCCCTAAATCACAAATTCAAGGTCGCTGGAACCCCCACACTCATAGCCATCGGCTCAACGGGCCGAACGCTGACTAAAGAAGCAAGGGATCTTATATCGGACCACGGGGCTGATGCTTGTCCTTTTACCGCTGAACATATCAAGAAGTTGGAGGAAAAGTCGACTAAGAACGAGCTAGATGAAGAAGAAGAAGACTAAGGCGATAAAGCAGCTGGGGAGGAGGCAAAAGAAGGAGAAGCCGGAGAAGGATGGGTCTGTGATGGTGAAGTATGTTATAAAGCCTAAAAGTTACTAGTCGATCTGTTTTCTATGACTCGCTTGAAGCAGTTTGCTCCTTTTTCTGTGAGTGATGTGTCTGAGCTTGACCTGCGAAGGTTCTCGTATATGGGATGTACATTCAAACTTTAGTGTGTTATTATGACTGAGAGTTTGCTGTCGTAATAAAATCTTTATTGTATACAAGCCATGTGCCAAGCAGCGCAGTAGGCTCAAATAGTCTGTGATTGGCATTCTCCGTACAAGTAGCTCCGGCTCTCCTTATGGAGATACAGCTTTGAGATTTGCATGCCGGTTGGACTTAATAGGACACGCTCAACGATACAGAAGTATGGATCACTCCTATAGTGCTAGTGCTTAGTTCTTGTTCAGTCTACCAATATGATAATAGATCATCCGTTATATCAATAGACGATGACTCTAGATCCAGATCGGTTGATATAATTAGTGGTAATGGAAAGTTAATCAGCCCTCAGTAATGGAATGTTAATCAGCCCAAAATAAGTCTCCTAACATCAAGAAAATGATCCATTTTCAGTTTATCAAAGAGGTTGAACTGCAGATAGAATAGGTCAACATCATATGTTCTTTTCCGACTTTAGCATCAAACGGGACTTGGCAAAGTTCATCATTTAGATCATATTGGTTCCACTTTTACTTTTTTGATTGGCAATAAGGAAAATCGATACTTAGATGCGATAGCTAAAACTAGAGGATGAAGATTGGAGACCCTTATCTAAAGGTCCGCTTCCCACCCTTTCGCTCGTAAAACACCTAAAGACATTGAGAATGAATTGATTCGTAGCCTAGAGATTTATCCTTCAACCGATATCACTTGCTACTATTACCTAGTCAAGAAGTTTAATTCAGCAATTATCTTTAACAAGGAGCACAAGATCAAACTAATCTTGATTAAAGTCCAGCGTGAAAGATAAACTGCGCTCGAGAAAAAATAAAGCATCTTCCATTAAACCTAGTAATTGAAGAGATGCATCACATATTTCCTTCCTGTATTATGCTAATATTTCATCTACCGCCTTAGAGATAATTTGTATTATGCTAATATTTCTCTCTCTCTCTCTCTCTCTCTCTCTCTCTCTCTCTCTCTCTCTCTCTCTCTCTCTCTCTCTCTCTCTCTCTCTCTCTCTCTCTCTCTCCGCGATCGACGCCTCCACCTGCTCCACCGCGTCCGCGTACTGGTCGGCGCACTCGCTGAGGCACTGCTCCACCGCCGGGCCCAAGCTCCCCCCGCCGCCGTCGAGCATCCGGCCGATGAAGGGGGCGGTGTCCGTCGCGTTCACGGCGGCGAGGCCGAGCGCGACCACCGTGAGCCAGGCCCTCGCCATGGCGGCCGAGCTCGAGCTCGCCTAGATCTGGGCGAGTTCTGGGCGACCTCGAGCTCACCGGCGACGAGGCTGGGCCTCGCCGGCCATGGCGAGGGCCGAGCTCGCCATGCCGGCGAGCTCGAGGTCGCCTAGAACTCGGCCGGATCTCGGGCGACCTCGAGCTCGCCGGCCATGGCGAGCTCGGCCCTCGCCATGGCCGGCGAGCTCGAGGTTGCCCGGAACGCTCGCCATGGCAGGCAAGCTCGAGATCGCCCAGATCTGGGCGACCTCGAGCTCACCGGCGACGAGGCTGGCCCTCGCCGGTCATGGCGAGGGCCGAGCTCGCCATGGCCGGCGACCTCGAGGTCGCCCAAAACTCGCCCAGATCTAGGCGAGCTCGAGCTCGCCCAGATCTGGGCGACCTCGAGCTCGTCGGCGACGAGGCTGGCCCTCGCCTGATTTTTGTCACGACGAAACTAATTTTGCCACGATTTTTCGACCAAAAAAAAATTTCGTTGGATTTCCAAATTTTTCGTTGGAAAAAAGTTGTTTTTTTGTAGTGTTTCCAACGAATTTAGCCACGAATTTTCCAACGAATTTTCCATCGAAAAAAATTTCGTCGCAAATTTTTCCAACGAAAAATTACCGACGAATTTTTTTTCGTTGGAAAATTCGTTGGAAATTCGTTTTCCAACGAATTTTTCCCAATTTTTCGTTGGAAAAATTCGTGGGAGCCATCTCTATGGCCTTATACTATTAATATGTATAGTAAAGGACTAAGTGCTACACGATAACTTAAATTTGTGGGAACCACCTCTAGAGCCTTGTTGTCAAGGACTAAGTGCTACACAGCGACTTAGGTCACGTGAGAGCCACCTCTAAAGTCTTGTACTATTGATATACGTTGGTCAAGGACTAAGTGCTACACGATAACGTAAATTCGTGGGAACAACCTCTAGAGCCTTAAGTTGAATATTGCGCAAGGAATGGACCATTGGCACGTGATTTGACGAGTTTGATTATTGAACTGAACCAGTAATTATGCTTTTGATATTATAGATGAATGGATATTCATGCTATGAATATAGTTATATGGAAGTGGTATATAACTCATTTTACTCTTGATATTATGATTGGTGTAAATGAGTTATGCCCTTGGGTGTCGTGGAAGCTTGATATGCTTAGAAGGTACATACTACTCACTGAGCTGTGGTTGCTCACTCTTCTTTTTCCCCAATCTTTTCAGGTTCCTTGGTCAGTAGCCTGTAGAGCGAGAGCGCTGTCGTGGGGACTTTTGGGAGTTGGATTGCTTGTTGTGGTTTGAGGTTACGTCCTTCGGATGGAAGGACGGTCATGTCATCCTCCATCCTGGTAGGTTTCGGGGCGTGACATGTATAGATCGCACACCCACCTGGCCTTCTTGTTCAGTGCTGCCTCACATAACAATTTAAGAACGTCTTAGATTTTACTTCTGAAATTAGGTGGTCCTAGATTTTCATATTTGTGTGTCAATCTATATATTAGATTCTCCTTGAGAAATAATGACGAGGGTCGGGTGCAATTTGAAGTTAAAGGTCTTTATCATATGAAAGTCATGAAACAGTTGGCCGGCCACAGGCGCCGTACCACCATTTCATTTATTGCCAAGGCTGAGAAAAATTATGTGATTTTGCCCTAGCTCTGGATCAGCAGCAGCAGCTTTCTCGGAATCCTATTACCCATTTATTTATTTTTTTGGACATTTTCCTGCGAGGGGCAAATTCGACTATTATTTTAAGCACGACTTGAACACAATTCGGCTTATGATAAGAAGAAAAATTTGATGTACATAACAACTGTCCATTTTGACTCAAAATCAATTGACACGGATTGTCTTCTTCAAAAGAGTGCAGTTGCACTGAATTGTCCTTATCACGATCGACCTGGTCAGCCGGGTTGCGTCGAACCCATGAAACATGCTGGCCATGATGTAACCCCTTCAATTCAGTGTATTGCCTAGGCTGGGATGTCTTATCTAACTCAGTATTATTGCTGGTTCAAAAAAATACAGGTACCCATGTTTCTTAATCAAAACTATTTTCTCTGTGAGAAAAAAAAACTTTTGACAAAAAAAGGGATAAGTGCATTCAAAATCCTAAAACTTTCATAATGTGCAATTAAGTCCTAAAACTTGTTAGGAAAGTGCAATTGAGTCCTAAAACTTTCAAAAAGTGCAAACAAGTCCTAAAACTTATCACGAAAGTGGAAACAAGTCATAAAACTTGTCAAATTAATTCAATCAAGTGTTTCCATTTATTGCACTTTTTGAAATTTTTATGACTTAATTGCACATTTGTGATAAGTTTTAGGACTTGATTGCACTTTTTGAAAATTTTAGAACTTGATTGCACTTTCGTAACAAGTTTTAGGACTTGATCGCATTTTTTGAAAATTTTAGGACTCGATTGCACTTTCCTGACAAGTTTTAGGACTTCTAATGCACTTATCTCAAAAAAAAAAAAAAAAAAAAAAAAGAACCTGGTCAAACTGTCATTGTTTTTGCAGTCGAGACATATTTATTGTTTAGCCCATAAACCTTGAAGCTGTGGCTTCAATTTCTTGGTGGAATGAAAAGGATGGTTATGCATCGTCCGAAATTCAATGTAAGGTACCCTTTAAGTGGTAAAATGAATAGCCTCTCAGATCCTAATTTTAACTCAGGCTTTTAATAGTTAATGGTTGGTGGTTTTCATAATTTGTAGAGTAGTGCCCGACGGATTGAATGTTGAATCAGCTAATGTACAATCATATGCCCGACTGGTTGGCCTACAGAGTGCCGGAAAAAGAGCCTGCTTCTCTCGGCAACAGGCAAAAATCTGAACTTTGAACAAACTATTTAAGGCAAATGGTCAATTCTTCCAAATCAGATACATTGGTGAACTTGGTCTAAAATTTTGCAGTAGAAAAGCTGAATACGCATGGTTCTGTTTTCTTTTCTATTCTTAAGCCGTGTCATTCCGTCGAATTGAAACATTTAGTTTACGAAACTTAGTCTCACAACCATGATGATTGATTTAGCAAACTTTATCTGGTATTTAACAGCCGGTGTGGCTTCATCTCATCACTATGTAAATCGTTATTCGTGTCGCTAACACACAAGGTGCTATTTTCACGAGAAGTTTAGACCAAATTTTACCAGGACGTAGTTGAACAGACAAGATGCAGTCTCACACAATGTCACACAACCCATATTAACTCTATTGACTTCAATTTATATACGAATCTCTGCATTTTTCATCCTAGCTGAAAGAAAAGATTTTGAGCAGTAGCAGAGAGAGAGAGAGAGAGAGAGAGAGAGAGAGATCTGAAACTGAAAAGGCTGGAAGTATGCTTTTCTCCCCGGTTCCTTTACCTGGTAATATACACAAAAATTTTGACAATGACAAGATCAGATATCTATCTTTTCCCTAAGACATCATCACCATCATCCTCTTCATAGATCTCATTCCCTCCTTTCAATGAACATGAAGGGCTAGAAGCAGAGAAACACGAAGCAGCAGATGAATAACAAGTGACTGAAGCGGAACCGTTGCTCTTGTCAGAAGCAAGGCTCATGAGCAGGTCAACGAATGCCTCCACTATGAACCCATGATTCTTTTTCCCATTGACCCTCAAGTACCAACCCAACAATGCCTCAAGGCACTCCCAATCCTTGAGGCCGTGCGACTCCACCATCTCCTCCATTGACCGCCTAAAGTCAACGTAAGGATTCTCTGACTCCATTGCAAGAACCACACTTTCCTTGAAGGGGAAGTTAACTGTCTTCGCCTCCTCCAGGATCGAGCTCGTGTCGTCTGGCTCAAAGAAGAGCCTCTCCGACCTCGCGCCCCTCACCAACACCTCAACTGACGCCTCAGCCACATCGATCACCGCATCAGACTCAGTCGAGAGGCTCGCCGACTCCTCTGGCTCTTCCGACGTGGTGGTGAAGAGGGACTCCGGCATCTCGGAGTCGAGGAACACCGAGTTGACCGTCTTGAAGATCTGGTCATCATCACCAGCAGCCCTGAAGGAGAGGGTCTTGGGGTGCTTGCAAGAAGGCCATTGCAATGGCCAGGGTTGGTTGCTTCTTGGTGTTTCTTTGTGGTTCTTGAAGAGGAGAGATGTTAGGTTCATCTTCTTGGCCTTGCCCATTTGGTGTGTCTCTGAAACAGATTGGGCAAAGTGGAATTCAAGGAATGGAGAGAATTTCTGAGAGAGTGTGGCTCTGTGATCTTTCCTTTTGGGCGTTGGTATTAATGTGAGCAGAGGGAGTTGAAGGAGAGATATATTTAAAGAAAGGAGAGAAGAGAGAGGGAGAGGGAGAGGGAGAGGGAGAGGGAGAGAGGGGGAAGTGAAGGAAGATGGCAAGAAGATGGAGGTTTAGTACGGTCCTTTCATGATAGGTATTTAATTTTGGGTTTGTAGAATTCAATATGTTATTAAATGACCCCCCTCTCTGCATAACAACTGAAATGAAACGGTACTTTCGGTAAGCAGGAATTAATTTTCTATTCTTGTGATCATTTGATGCGTTTTTTTTTTTTTTGGTCAGCATCATTTGATGCGTTTGATTAGCTGCAAAATGCAGGTCTTTTTTCTATATTAAGTACAACAAAAGGGTGGGCACTTTCCTGGGTACTGCATCATGCTTTCAGTTTGCCATTTTGACTTTGTATTAGACTATTAGTTTATTCTCAAACATGGTGTTCAGCCACTCTTGAGTTCTTGTCCGTCAGCATTACTCCAAAAGGCATGCTTCACACATATTGAAGTTGATTAACAAAAATTGCGGCTGCAATCACCTCACACAACAGCAGTTTTCATATCCTCGAATCGTAAGACAAAAAGTTCCAGAAAAGAGTGCACGTCTCCACATGATATTGACCTTCTGCTAAATGGGAGTGTGGCTATTCTAATAGTAGACACAGAGTCTCTTGAGCCTCATCTAGTTTTCATCTTTCTACTAAACAGTAATCCCTTAAAATCTTAGATAGAGACTCATATCACATTCCTAAATTGGATTGCCTCTTTGAGGGGTTGCTTTGATTATCACCCATCAATAGAAACACATGCAGTTATGACCCTGTTTTGTTCTTTGCAGTAATCGAAAGGGACACATTAGTGACCCAAGAAAACGACGTGTGAAACAGAGGGGCTAAAGGAAATTTCAAAAGGAGGCGAGTTCCATGTGATTTATTTTAAGTGGGGAACCGTTGGAATCACGCACACTAGTCCTTGCCCATGAATTTATGGGAGGGAAATTGGTACATCAACGATAAGATATCCTATGCATTAGTACTTTGCTCTCATTGATTTCCTCCCATGCTCAGCATCCATGTCCATTTATTGGTGTGCAAAGATAGCTCCAACATTGCCCCCGCCACAACATCGTGCTGCTCTGTTTTTTCGTCCTCTAAGAACAACCATGCAACGAACTGTCCTTTTTTGTTTTTCTTTTTTCTTTTTTTCCTTTTATTTTGTTCCTCTGATTTACCCAATTTTTGAAACATTTTCCCACTCCCATTGACATGGAGTAAAACCTGTCATGGTTCAGAAGTTGACTGGGGAAAGCAAGAGAAGCCAAACTCAAGATTTCGCATCATCAGAAAACTCACTACTTAGTACGTAGTTATGATGTATGGCATCATTCCTACTGACTATGTACGCTGTGGCCGAAACCCGAAAAAATGGCTAAACATCAAAGTGTTTATATTTGGTATTTTGAAGAATCGAGCTTACGTCGTGTGCCTAATCCATGCGTATGCGTATGTCTCTTGAACAAATCTCATGGGGCTACTTGTTTTCGATAAAGAACTATGCTTTGACATGTTCATGACATTTGAGATTGTTTCATTTGCCTTCTGCTTTCTACAGTCTGATCCTTTCCCGTTTTCATTGTACATTCACCTACTTGTATACTACAAAATGTAAGCTGCGTACCCGCAGGTGCATCTACTTTTTGCAGTTTAGAAGCATAAGCATGTGCCCAACTGCACAGGAAGCATTCATTGAAGCTTCAGGGAGGCAAGAACGCTCATTAGGGGAGGACTCTGGTCGTACACTCTGTAAACAGAACAGAATCGTGCAGCAAAATTGTCCGTACACTACTTATATCTCGGATCATTAATGAATGATTTGATATACGAGGTTGATTTTCCGAATTCGTGTTTATCAACAAGCTTTAAGAAGTTAGTGGCGTGAAAGATGAAAGGTATTGACTTGAAATTACTAGCATGTCGGAGAGAATACCATCTCATGTTAAAAATTATCAACCCAAAACCCGAAAATCTTTGATTTCAGTTGACGGGATCGTTAGAACTTTCCCATGTACCTCAGTGGAGAGAGAGACCGCCTCGTGCATCAAATACATCATGCGTAACCAATTAAGACTGAGATAGATTTAAATTTGCAGATAGATTTTTGGTAGTCCGATGTCCCACTTGCTCATTTCATGTAAATATACCGCATAGTTTCTTCTAGTTACAGAGTGTAAAGCATCCAAGCTCATGAAGATTTGAAACAAAGATAGTGCTTGGGTTAAACACGTTGCCATGGTTTGGACTTTGTACCACTTCACATGATCTTAGATCTCCCCTCCATGGATTAAAAGTACATCAATTTGGATTCTGCGAATACCTCATGCCTCTACGTGATTCTTCGACTCCTATCAAACTTGATGTGATTGATCTACTTCTGGATGTCGATCAACCACAATGAAATACAAATGATAACTTAATCTACACCCACAGAGTCTTTGGATCAACAGTTCTCGTGACCACGAAACTACTCGGAGTGTCAACAAAAAAAAAAAGCTCCGCGAAGATACTACCATCTCTAACAATGAAAACCCAATTCGAAGTGCTTGCTTTTTGTGCATTTTTGCTGAACAATTTTAGGCCGAAAATAATCTCGGTTCAGCTCGAGCACCTTCCTACCAATCAGAGAGAGATTCAAAACATTTTTGTGCCTTCATCATCAGATCTATTCAGCCCAGTTGCTCACATCCCACAAGAGGTTTATCAGAATGGTGAAATTGCTTAGGAGTGCCGTGTTTGCTTCGCAATTTGGTAGGTGTGATTCAACCATCGTCTTAAGTTTCTGAGGAATGTCAAATGTCAATGGTCCCTCTACACAAGCAGTGTCAGCTGTACCCAGAAGATTGACACTAGCTGTGGGTCCTCTTATAATACTAGGTCTCATCAACATTGCAGAGCCACGAGATCCTGGTGAATTTTCATTACATAACCCCGAATGTAACGATAGGAACAACTTTTTGTTGCCCATTAATTGGTTGGTAGCGTCTGTCATCTCATTTGATCTCTTCGTTTGCTAATTGCACGGTATAGATCAATCAATGGTGAAGCCAATACATAGTCATCGGCACGGTTTATGACGTATGACGGCTAATACATGCTCATCTAGACTTGACTGTGAATTATTTAGATCGAATGAATACACTGTCACAAGACAGATCTAACCAGCAAGAATAGAGTAAGACTTGTTTGTAGGGCAAGTGGCTTTTTAGAAGACAATGATACTAGCATTATCATTTTGGTATGAGCACGCTCCAGAAACAAACTTGTTTGAGAAAAAATATTGTAATCTTTTAATTGAATAAGCACAAGAATCAATTCCCAAAAGGTCCCAGAGAAGTGGTTTTGTTAACTGAATGAGTACGGAACCAAACAGCTCTCATTATGCAGGAATCAAAAACCAATAAAACAAGGGAAGTCCCACATCTCAAGATTAATTAATTCCCCAAAACCAAGTTGAGGACTATGAGGTCCAAGCTTGTGCACACTATTTATCAGAAGATAATAGCAATGAACCACTAACCATAATCCTTGTGGTCGTGCGATCGAGAGATCTTGTTGTCGGAATCTCGTTGTCGGAATCAACATGTCGTTGCGCCTTCCGTTTTAATTTGAACCTTTGGAGAAGAAAATAGGTGGAAGTGAACTGGTCTGTTCCCTGCCCACCAAGTTCATGATTTGGCTTCAAAAGCATCTGTTCAGGCACATACCTCGTTGACCCTCTGTCATTGCCTCCTTAACCCTGGTTCTAATCCGGGATTTTGTCCAATAATAAAGGATTTTAAGGGGATTATGAAGCATAACAACCCGTCGCGTGGGTCCTACTGGTTCAAGAACAGCTCTATCAGGTATCAAGTGCAGACAAGACAAGCAAACAAGAAATTATATGGGAGAGAGATGGCATTACTGGAGTGTTTGATTTCTAGAGGTAGAAACTAGAATTAGGTTTTAATGGGATGAAAAAAAGAAGGAAAATGTAGATGGATACACACATCATATGAACCTTTCAGTCAAAATAATTACGTTTGGGCAAACTCTTGTAGATCAGAAACGAAACGAGGACAGCAACCTACCTGCTTGCTGTAAGTTAACAAGGAATCAAACTTTCAGTACTAAGTAGTGTGTTCTAAATGCACCTGAGATCTAGATATTACCACGTGTATTAGTGAAATGCATCATTTTCTAGAGTTACATGAATTTCGTGATACTGAAGTTGGAAGAGAAAACTTTCGGTCTTCGGGACGAACTGTCGAGGAGATAACGTTTGGTCTAACATAAAGATGTTTGAGCACGCAGTTGCGATTCAAGACATCCCAAGGACCAGCTTCATCGAATGCTTGAGATAGTAAAATGAGAACGCATAGAATTGTTGTATCTGAAGGCTATTAAGTAAGAACTATTAAAAGGCAGAAGGAATCCACATCCATCAAGATAAGTCTACACATCAGATACAGCTAGAGTGACCCAACCATATGATATTTAAAGGCAGACATGGAAAGAGCGTGGAAGTATCACTAGGCTGTTTGGTAGATGTGCAAGAAACAACCAAAAAGATCATCGGTGCCAGATGACATCTAAAGAAAGAACCCTAGCTTTGTTTTGTCTTTCTAATTCTTGAGGCACGAGGTTCTAACTCAACTCCCATTTCCAAACCCTACCTAAACTTTAGATAACTCTCTGATTAATCTAATCAGAACTTCACCTAAATTCCACACCAAGCAATAGTCATGACTAAAAACATCCACCCAACAGCTCATTGGACCATTCCCATCACCCCTTATATGGTCCTCAAAAACATACCCAGAACATCAAGGCGTTCATCAGGACACGTGCTCATTTCTCATTTCATCTCCGTGCCATTCCTAATTAAGAACCCAGAGGAAGTGTCAATCAAGTGCACACAATCAAATGGAAAGACATTCCAAAGAGAAGAGTATGGAGGAAGAGAGGAAAAGTAATGCATTTGGCATCGTTGCACCCTCGCAAGAGAGGACCACTTTCAGGGCCGTTTGGTTCAACTTTGCAAATGAGACTTAGGGGAATGCAAATACCTTCAAGTTAAAGCCCCTTGAAGAAATGCAAATGGCATTTGGTAAAAAATCCTTTATGAAGTTACTTTGGCCCAAGTAGTGTTTGGCAAAATTTTTTTGCAAAGGGCTTTGGGAATTTTCCTTTTTATTAAAAAAAAAACTTACCCTACCCTTCGCTGGAGCCGGCGAAGGCCTACGGCTGCCGGCGAGCTAGATCTGGCGCCGAGGGCCGTCGCCTGAGCTCGGCGAGCCAGATCTACCGCCGGCGGCTGTCGCTCGAGCCCGGCGAGCCAAATCTACCGCTGGGCAACCCTCGGCGAGGGTCGCGTGACCTCAGGCGGCCGTCACTTGGGTCGTGCAATCTCATCAGCCTCTTGCCGGCCCGATCCAATGTCGGCCGCCCTCGCCAGCTACCCTCGCGCAAAAGATGAACAATAATAAGAGGGACAAAACCAGAATAAGCCAGAATAAGTGAGGGTAGTTTGAGGGCAAAAAAATTAGTTCCAGCATTTGCCAAATGCTAAAAGCCCAAAGCTGGTCCGGACCAGCTTTGGGCTTTGAGCATTCCCAGTGCTAGCTTTCGGCCGAAAGCCCATTGGGAATGCTTGCCAAACGGTTTAGCATTTCCCCAAGGGGCTTTCAGCCTCAAAAGCCCCATCCCAAAGCTGAACCAAACAACCCCTCAATTGGTAGCTAAAAGAAGGGAAATGATAGAAGAAGAGAAACTTATGACTCTTAATGGAACGTATCGACAGTGCATCGCAGATTTATGACCAATCCAATCAGACAGCAAGATAATATAAAGCAACACAACTTGGTGAAATTCAAGGGGTCAAAGCGACAAAACCAGTGAAGTTTCGAGGGAAAACATGGGACAAAATTTTTCAGGGTTGAAGTGAGATCAAGACCCAATTTTGAGAGAAATATGGAATTGCTCTTTTGGGATGGTTCAATTTCATGAAAGCAATGAAAATGAGACAATTAAAAATCACATATCGAGGCTTCTGTGAAAGCCAAAAATGTAGTCAGCATAGGCTGATAAGCTGAAGAGTATCTCCAGGTTATACAGAAACAGAGCTAAGATCATTCTGGAGCCATTTTGTAGGAATTAGGATTTGTAACAAGAGAACACAAAAGGGGGAAGAATGTAATCTCGAAAAGCAACAATTCCCTCATTGATTTCCCCAAATCATTTAGCAAATCCAAATTTTCATAGCTTAAGATGAAAGATGAACACTTGAAAATTATAATGGCCAACTATGACAAACAAGGCATGCAATAGCAAACAGGGAGTCAACAGTCCTGAAGTGACGTGCGCTGCATCAACTAAGACATAATCATTAGAACTGTAATCAGTTGTGTATTCAAAGTCCATCTGCACTAGGACAGGTTATCGATACCAATAGATCGGTACCAACAGAAATAAATATGCATTTTGATGACAAATGGACTATCATGGTCCATCCTCTCCTCTTTATCTTGCAATTAATGGTGATATGCCTCAGTTCAAGAAAAGATCAGCAGTCTCTCTTTCATTCTTGCTAGTCTACACTGTGTAGGCAACATGATGTGGTAGTCCCCCTTGTCTAGAGCACAAAAACTGACAAAGATGAGTTTTGATATCCAAGCTTACCACAGCTACAAAAGCACTCTACCATCCAAGCAAATCAATCAAGTTTGGCTATCATCTGTGGGCACCGAAAGTAAAAAGCCCTAGTGTACATAATTTCCTAGCAATTACATAGATCATTATTTATTTAAACAGAAACAACAGTAAGTAAACTAAAAGAAATTCAAGTTTTGAAATATATTCTAAAGAATATGTAGCCCGAGTCAATCTCAAATATGGACAGCTTACCACAAAAGAAACTCTGCTACTTCCACCCATGGAACATTTTCTCAAGTCCTTCTGGAATCAATCATCAAGGAGGTACAACACACATCCATCACATTTCTACTACACATAAAAGTCTTCTACAAATCACATGAACACTGGATAGTTGATAGTGCCCGAATTGTCATCAGCCAAACTTCAGATCCTCATACATCAAAGGAAAAGCAATAGGGCATAAAAACAAGTATAACTGTCACATAAACAGATATGGACAAACTAACTGTAATGAATCACCCCCAATAAAAACGGAAAACTGAGGCAGTTTCAAAGTTCATCATAATGAAGTGTTCAAGTGAGGATCATCACATAAATGACTCAACAGGAAATGATTCTAGTAATCTAGCATCTACAAAGTGCTAGATTCGTTCATTAATAAGAGGAGAGGAAAAAGGGATTCTCTCCAAATTAGTCATCATGCTGAACACTTAATGACACATTCTCTTCTGATAGACAATCAGTTTTCTAAACTCTATGGTACACATCTTGAACCTCTTAAAAGGGAATGAGCTGAGACTAAATGATAGCCTGCTTACCATTAACTCTTAACATATCCAAACAAGGTAATGATAGAGAACAAAATTAGGGAGATGGATTAGTATTGTGAAGAATTAATGAACTATCTGTCACGAAATTTATCAATAGATCCCTGAAGAAGACATCAACAAATGAGAGGCACACTCTCAGACATCGGTCGAAAAAGATAGTGCATCATTTAACAGAGAAATCATGGGCTACAGTTGAGTAGTGAAAAAATAATTCAAAAACTCCCATTCAAACTGAGTTTAAGGCTTAACTTTTGGCACAGTCCATGCCACTTTTGGCACAGTCCATGCAGCTATTGGAACCAGGATCTCTCATTCAGTTCTTATGACATGCCTAAGGGTAGAAACGTTGGTAGTTCAAAGTAGTATCCAAACTATTGAACTCACTTCAAAATAAACCACATATTGTATTATTAGGTGCCTCAACCACACAAAGGTAACACATAACAAAATACACACAACAGTTCACATAAGGACAAAGACCAACAATGACAAGAAAAGGATAATAATGTTGAAACAAGCAACACCAAAGGAAGTTGTCTGGCACCAAGAGCTTCCTCGACTTGAAATTAAGAAATATGAATGAGGCTACATCTTCCTCATGCTCTTAGCTGGGTCCCCACGAAACTGGTCAAGCAAGACGAAACTGTCACAATTTGGGCATGTTGGATCTATTTCGCTGGCCATCACATATATCCGGCAATGTATACATCCCATCGCAATTAACGAAATCTCTCTAGGCTCATCACCATCGGCACTAACTTTTTCTGACTTAGGATCCGACTGCATGCCTGAAGATGACCCTAACTGAGGTGAAACTTGATCTGCTTGATCGCCCTCTGCTTGATCGCCCTCTTGGGTTGGTAGACTAAGAGTTAAGTCTAGGCCAGCAGATTTTTCATCTTCCCCCAATTCTGTAAAGCCTCTCTTCTTTGTGTCCTCCAAAAGTTGTCCCAATCCAGTCTACAAGGAAAGACAATTATACATGAACGTGGTCTTTCACGGATGTTACAAACCACGAAAATAAGAGGAAAAGCAAATCAAGACATCTCATAGCTTGAAAATCTATATCCATTCCATACGGGGAGAAAAGGCACTGTCTACCTTGTGCACAGCACTCTCTTCCCTAGAACGGGGGATTTGTGATTGATCATCAAGCCGAATCAATGTCGAATCAGATATGGGCTGATTAAGATCAAGAGAAGCATGAATTGCCCTAGGAGAAAATCCCATGTTGTTGTCAGGTAGATCATTGACATTAATGATTTCTCTGGAGCTATTGCCCATAAAGCGGGGTTTGCATGCATAAAACATGGTGGGAGGAACCAGAGTGGAGGAATGAGGATTCCCTTCCATTGAGAGAGCCAGACTCGATCTTATATTATGTTACAAAAATTTATCTGAACACGTCTATTTAGTGAAAGTTGGCCTGAGCTCATCCACACAGTGCACGAGACAACGTAGCACACCGACAATTGCAGTTATTTCCCCTGAATATTATGCCAAGTAATAGAATAATATTGAATGTAAAGACGACAAGATCATTAATGAGGTTCTAGAAATCATTATTCTTCCTCAAATTGTTTTCACATAATCGCTACGCGATAGATGGACATACTATAAAATCAAGATAACTTTCCCCTAATGATCTAGTCGCACAACTAGAAAAATTCTGGCAATCATGAACTTAAGTCGCATCTCAACAATCAATCTCGAATAAAATTGACGTTAAATAAAGAGACCAAAAACCCATGTCAGAACATTTGGAATTGTTTCAGGAGGATGTTCACCAATGTAGTTGATGTAGATAGTGCCAAAAGAATTTAGTAGTATTAGAATAGTGAAGGGAGGAAAAATGCACAAGGAAACAAATGTTTTTGTAAATATGGTTGCATCCTGCATTTACCTTCTAAAGACCCAAGAAAATGAGTCTTTAATCGTAAGTGGGACTAAACAGGCACTACAATTCACATGAATGATGTGGTAGGATATGTCAATTGCGCTCTACATCTTGTTCAATGGACTAAAAGGAGTATAGGCTGGAGAAAATATGCAGGTAACGGAACAGACTCTAGGAACGAAAAATTTACGATAAACAACGCGGCAAAGACAATAAAGACAAGAAAGCCTTATCCCACTAAAAGAGGTCAGCTATCTGAATCCTACTATGCCATTGAGTTTGATCATGTATCACCTAATCTAGGAGCTCTAAAAACTCCATACCTCTCCCTATTGTCTCCTTTCAAATCCTTCCAAATCTTTACCGCACCCTTCTAACCTGCATTTGCAGCCCTTGGTTACATCTCCCCCTAAAGCATCTGAAGGTTACAATATGACCAAACTATCTCAAAGCCACACCTATCTTTTTACTGATACATATCCATTTCACATCATTCCAACAACCGTGAAGGCAATACGCTCTTTTCAACCAGGAATGTATTCAAGCTAACTACACACTGGTATTTGAAAATTTTCTAGTTAATTTCTTTGTCCCCATACCTCAAATAATCATTTTCATCTTAATATTTCCCCGGCACAAAGAAATCAACTAGAACAATAAACACATACTCAAGGAGTAAACAAAGTAAGACAAGGCTAATATTTGCCGATTGTAAGAGGAAACGTTCCGAGGACCAAATGCAGGATAGAGAGGAAAAATGAACTTGAGCTTAACTTTTGAAGATTGCTATACAAAATCATGCAAAGCTTAAATGGTGAACAATGGTGGTCTCATCACAAAAAGAACATTAATATATTTTAGAAAACTCTTTTCTAGTAAGATGGAGAGACCAGATGCCCACATAACCTCTCATCTGGATTGGCATCACATAAAAGATGTTCTACAGCTCCCAGTGTTGATCAACTCCAGTGACACGGGGTCTTTTGGTAAGAGAAAGTTGATGAAACACGTTTTGCAGGTCCAATTATTGATTGATCTGAAAGATTGCTGCCCATAGTATAATGCCAATAGGCTACTGTTTAATATGTATTTCCAACTTAATCGATGATGACTACATTGTACTCACCAAATGGGGGGAGAGAGAGAGAGAGAGCACATATTACCGGAGGAAGAGGATGAAGAAGCTAGCAACTACAGTTTGCTGTAACACCTTGAGAAGTACCGTAATGCAATGCTAGCTTTTCCACCAGAGTATGCACCCCAAGTCCAGTTACTCCTTTCACTGATAAAAGGTCCTTCCACCAAATTGGAGAGTTCTGAGCTCATCTGCAAAAAAATCTGAGTTTATTCCTGGGCATAGTGTATCTAGGAATCTCTACCGTGTGAGCATACAATTAATTGAGATCTCGGAGAAACATCTATCTGGTGAAAAATTTTAACAATAATAGGCTCCAACTAGAAGGCCAAATGAACCCCCGGCACAAGATAAAGTGAACCAACACCACATAAAAATGAACTTACTAGCATCTTCACCAAAAATCTGCGCAAGAACAATATCCACCACTAAAGTGGTGAAATCTGTTTGTATCTCTCACGATAATCTCTCTGTTTGTGACGCCTGATGCAATCTTCATAAAGGAATGACAATCTACACAAATTCTGAGATTCTTCATAATTCTAATAGGTGCACTTGGAGGTAAGCACAACAAGCCAAAAGCAAGAGCTAGCTTCTCACTGTGATGCCTTAAAAGCTCTTGTTTTTTTATCACCTCCAAGTCATGAAGGTCATGTTCAATTTCAGCTATATAGCCCCGTCTCTCCACCTCTCTAAACAAATCATCCAACTTCAGATAAACATGAGCAATCTTGGGATGTAATCTGTCCCCGACCACAAAAGAATGGACCTTATCCTTGAGTTCAATCCAACTCTTACCCTTCTCTTTCTTCACCTCACTATCTTTTAGGAGTTTCCTAGCTGTAGAAACTCCATCCCACATCTTATTCGCTGCATATGTATTAGATAGCAAGATATGATTTCCAGCATTATGAGGCTCAAGCTCAAATAACTTCTTGGCTGCAACCTCAGCGATGCCCAGATTTCCACTGATCCTGCAAGAGGCCAACAGTGATCCCCAAATCGAAGGAGTGGCATCAAAGGGCATTCGAATGATCAGATCATATGCTTCATCAACCGACCCAGCCCGACCAAGAATGTCAACCATGCATGAATAATGAAGGACGTTTGGAAACACGTTATGATCTCTAGTCATTAAATCAAAGTACTTCCGTCCATTTTCAACCAAACCCACGTGACTGCAAGCAGATAACATAGAAACATAGGTCACTTCATTTGGATATATACCCATCTGCTGCATCTTCTCATATAAAATCATTGCTTCCAAGGACCGTGCATGTTTCGCAAAACCCGATATCATTGCATTCATCAGAGCAACGTTCTTCTCTTCTGCACCTGAAAACACAAGAGAAGCCTCTCTAACAGCGCCACATTTAGCATACATGTCAATGAGAGAGGAGCACACAAAGATATTGGAACCAAACCCAGATTTACATATGATGGCATGAAACTGTTTTCCTTCAATAAGAGCCGCCAGACCTGCACAAGCAGAAATTGCAGAAGAAACCATAAAGTGGTCATATTTTAGCCCCACCACCTGAGCCCTATAAGACAGCGACAAGGCTTCCTCATACATGTCGTTTTGCACATATCCCGCCATCATTGAACTCCATGTTACATCGCTCCTCTCTTGCATAAACTCAAAAACCAACCTTGCATCCCCTATCAACCCACATTTCGCATAAACATCAAGCAGCGCCGTCGCAACAAAAACGTTAGAATCCGTAGCACTCTTCGCGGCAAAAGCGTGCAGCTGTTTACACTCGAGCACGGCACCCGTACCAGCACAAGCACAAAGAACACTAGAAACGGTAAATTCGCCAAATTGCGTGCCGTCCCTCTGCATCCGCACGAAAAGAATGAGAGCTTCCCGCTCTTCCCCATTCCGGCAGTGAGAGCTGATCATGGTATTCCAGGAAACCAAGTTCCTATAAGGCATTTCCTCAAACATCTTCCGGGCGAGGCTCGTGACCCCGCACTTCGAGTACCCATTGATGACCATGTTCGAGACCAAGACGTCGGATTCCAACCCCAAACGGATGACCCGCGCGTGGCAGGCGCTGGCCTCCATGGTCGAACCCGTTCTTGCGCATGAACGCAACCCGTCGTGCAAAATCGCCACCTTGTCGACATAACGGCCCCCCGGACCGGGGATTTCGATGGGCGGTGCGTCGGATTCAGTACCGGCGGTGGCCGAGAGGGGCCTGAAACGGAGGAGGCGGCGACAATTTCTCCGGCGACGAATCAAAGTGTTCATAAAACGGTCGAATGCAAATGGTAGATCCTGCCCGACACACAGGTTTACTTTCGAGGCTCGGATCCAGCAATCCTCGGCCAATGAGCAGCAACATAGTAATCGGCAGATTAAAAAATAAAAAAAAATAAAAAAGAAAATGAAGTTATGTGCCTCTAGATAGTAACATATCAAGCAATTTGCTTCAAACTTTCGACCAAAAAAAAAAACCAATTTGTTTCAAACTTTTCAATTAGACTAATAAATATATTCTTTTCACTTTTAATTTTGATGAGATTTATCATATACTTTAACTGTACATGAGAAAGTATTTATATATTTCACCTTGCTATATAAATTTATTTTTTTGAATTAAATATTGGGCCTTAAATTTCACAAACTAATTGAGAAAATATTTTTCATAAACAAGTTGTAATCTTGGTTAATTTTTATTAAGAATTCAATTTTACACTTTCATTAATAAAAAATATGAGAACTCGCGTACATTATTAACATTAATTTTAATAGTACATGATTAACTAATCGATTTAATCGTTTTTAACTCAAAAAAAAAAAAACAAGATTACAACTTCGTTCTTTTTTATTTTCAAACCCATCTAAATTCAAATCTGAGTATTTTTTTTTTTATCTTTCACCATCTAAATTCCATTTTGTTCTAGATAAACTTAATCTCGTACCTTCATCTATTTTTTAACATATTTTTTCTCTTTTTTCCTTATGCCTTTTGGCTAATTTTGATAGAAGGAGACTCGTACCATTTTTCGAGTCATGCGATTATGTCCTTTTATCATCGGTCATGGTATCATTTGTATTACTCAGATCGAATTTCAAGAAATATTAGAATTTTATGTATCTCTGAGTTATGTACATCTCATTCTATCCGTGACACATAATTTATACAACATAAAAAAAAACAAAACAGCACTTTAATAATTCAAATTTGGATAAACTCATGTTTTGATTGACCTTGTGATCCTATTGATGGGCTCTACATGTTTTTGGGTTGCCCACTGGGCTTTAAGTTCAAATTTGCAGCACAGAATTCATGGCCCATTGGTCACGCTATCATCCAGCGCCAACTGGCCCAACTCAAATCGGCAACCCGACTCGACGGCCACCGGCACTGTCTTCATCCGCTCTGCCTCCGGCCACCACCGGTGGAGGCAATGCTTCTGCCGCCTCCTCGCTCTCGCATATGTCCTTGCCAGTGATGATGGTCACAGCGAGCCATAGAGGGCTACGACACTCGCGATGCCAGTCGTGCTGTCGAGATGGGAACAACGTGAGGCAACAGCACAATGCGGGCGGCGGCGGCGATGGCAAGTGGGTACAGTGGTTGCTTTGGGGGAAGAAAAAGGAATGAAAGGAGAAAAGCATAAATGATATAGAGAGAGAATTGTAAGGAAAAAAAAAAGAAAAGAATGAGTGCACTAAAAATCTTAAAACTTGTCACGAAAGTGTAATCGAGTTTTAATAATTTCAAAAAATATAATCCAGTCCTAAAACTTGTCACGGTCTATAAAATGCGATCAAATCCTAGAATTTGTTACGAAAGTGAAATCGAGTTCTAAAACTTTCAAAAAGTGCAATCAACGAAAGGACTTAATTGGATCAATTTTACATTTACATTTTTTTATAAATTTTAGAACTCGATTGCACCTTCATGATAAATTTTAAGACTTTCAATACACTTATCCCATAAAAATATTTTAAAAAATAGGAAAAAGCACATCATGCCCAATTCAAAATCTAATTATGCCGAGAGAGACATGACTAGAAAACCAGAGTAATCCCCATATTTCGGTCAATACCATAATCCATGTTCTCAAACGAAAACCCACGTTCACTCAAAGGGGATCAATACCACGTGATTGCAAATCAATCTGCCGACCACTTTAATTCCTACTTAAAGGGGAAAATAAACACTTGAAAATAGTAATAAAGCAAAGAAATTAGGAGGTGGTGGGAAAAGAATCTCATATCCAGAAAAAAAACCCAATTAGTTCTATTCTTTTCTCGACGGAATACCGCATGTTAAGCTTAATTGATTCACGATGCGTTGGCCCAACTCGTGACCCGACTCGATAAAATTTACAGCGGCCCGATTGGGAATTTCATCGCGAGGTATGTGGCGGAAGCCGAGGGCTGCGGGGCCAAGGCCCGAGAACGGACGTAAATTAGGTCGGCCGAGCTTTGTTTCGCCCCAGAAAAAAAAAGGACCCGCATGAAAAGTTTGAAGAGACAAGACTGATTTCCCCAATTTTGATGGGGGCAAAATTGAGCCACGGAATGTTATCTCCTTATCGAGATGATATTCCAAAACTTTACAAGCGAAAAAAAGGCTTGTTTGAATAAAAAGAAAAAAAAACTGATTTTCTTTTGACATTCTTGAAATGATATTCCATATTTTTTTTCTCCGTGATCTTTTTCTCCACCTTCTTAATATCCCTTTTTTTGACTTGGAATCCATTTGACAGTGCAGTGCACCAATTGCAAATCCCACTTGCTTTGATACTTTGAGAGATCACTGGTCACTATAACTCCCCACCTCTCTTTCCAGATTCTTGTGCGCACAATCCACTAATTTGCATTATATTAACACAAAAATAATTTACAGCAGAAAATTAGGAAGAAATCTACATAAATTGAGCGCGCTCTTTTTATCTCTTCTCTTCTTTTCTTTTTGCCCCCCCTATTCGATGGCCCCTCGAGTTGTCGTCGGTAATTCTCGCTCGCTACGTGACCTTCGAAACCTTATATGAGCGAGAGTGACCCCCCGGAAAAGAGCTGTCAGGAAGTGAACAGGCGTGGCTCGTGAAACTTTCAATAACTATTTTGCCGACAGTTTAGGCCGATCGTGAAACCCCGGGACATTTCTTTCAAGGGTAATCTTCGAAAGGATTTGGGAAAATGCCTCGTCCCACTTGCATGGGGAGATTCAATAATGGAGAGAGGCTACAAAAACAAAGCCTCGGCCTTTCTAATGTCGGGACTCGATTGATAGGACCCAACTCAAGTTCGAGATTCCTTGAAAACGAAATCCCCAAGCTGTCCCGTTTTTTTTTTTTTTTTGCACGACGATGACGGAAGAACTCGCTTCGACGACGCGTTCCTCCCTTCCCTTTCGGCCCCGTCCCTCGACGTTGAAAAACGGAGTCAAGATTCGCGAATAATTATCAGGACTTTTCCATGATGGAGAGCTACGTATCGGTGGAGAGAGGTCGAGAGGAAAATCAATCATGGAATATCTTCGGTTTCACCCTTCAGGGGGTATTTTGACTTATCTTAGTAATAATAACAAGGGTTGGTACCACAAAAAAACTCCAAACATGTATATATACCTGTGACAAATTTTTAACTCCAAACCGGTACACCTGTGACAAATTTACCCTCCGTTAGTTTTCGCTAAATTTTACTGTCAAATTGCTGAGTTGGATGGCACGTGGCAATTGACAGGTATACTAATTTGGGGTTCACAGGTTTACCAATTTTTTTTATTTTTCGTGGTATTAAACCAATTTAACGGAGGGTAAATTTGTCATAAGTGTACCGGTTTGGGGTTTTTTTATAGTCAAAAAATTAGTTTGAGATAAATTTGTCATAGCTGTACCATTTTAGGGTTTTTTTGTGGTCAAAAAATTAGTTTTTGATAAATTTGTTACGTGTGTACCAGTTTAGGGTTTTTCGTAGTATTAACCCTAATAATAACAATAAATAATAATAATAATAATAATAATAATAATATATTATTATTACTGTTATTATTATTATTAATGATAATAAGTGGGCCCTTGCAGGAGACAAAAGGGATTGACTAAAACCGGCAAGAAGACTGTAAATCCAACATGATGGCCCATGATTTCTTGTCTTGGCATTAATCTCCTTTAATCACCTTTTTCCTTATGAATAATCCTGCTCTTTACTTTATTAATAAATAATTTTCATACATTAATCTTTTTCCAAAGCCAGAAAATTAAAATTAGTTTAATTTAATCGCCCGGGGGAATTATTCCGTACCGTGATGATAAAAAGGAGCAATGTAGAAAAGTTGTTCGGCTTTTTCCAAGTGAAGTTTTGAATAGATCGCGACGGCTTTTGTGAGAGAAGATAGGCACCGAAAATGGCGCTTTAATATATTGCATAAATCGGTCGTAATTAACCTAATCAAAGGCAATAATTTCCCAGCCAAATCCAGAGGGCCGGAAAATTGATTTAATGGTCCATTTGTTTCATGAAAAACCCGCGTTTCAGAAAACATATTTATCGAAATGATCGCTTGTATCACCTACAAAAATAAATGAACGGAAAATATTTTCATCGTTTATGAAAATGTTTAGGCATAAATCGTTGTCGATAAACAATCATTTTAAGAAAGGTCAATACCATGAAAAACTCCAAACCGGTACACCCGTGATAAATTTACCCCCAAACTAATTTTTTGACTACCAAAAACCCTAATCTTGTATCCATATGATAAATTTACCTTCCGTCAGTTTCCATCCAATTTTACCAGTCAAATTACTGAGCTGGATGACATGTGGCAGTTGACGGGTGTACCAGTTAGGATTTTACCATTCTGTTTGTCACAAATTTACCAATTTATGATTTTTTGCAGTATTAATCCAGTTTGAGGTAAATCTGTCACAGGTGTGTACCAGTTTGGGGTTTGTCGTGGTATTATCCCTTTTTAAGAAAATATTTTCCAAATCGTTCATTATCTGTAAAATTGAATGTGTATCTTTCCTCTTTAGGAATAATTTTTTTTTTCTATTTCGGATCAAATTGCGTTGAATTTGGGGAAGATAGGTCTATGAATCAGCTCTGAGAATTCGTTCGGTCTTGGATATCATTCTTTCAGGTTAATCTGGAATCGGATAAAATCCGGCATTATCACGACCTTTTCTTTCCTTTTTTATCCAAGTGCACTTTCTTTTTTCTTTTTGGGGGAGGCTTTAGAAAGCTACATATAGAAAAATTAATGCTTCAATTTTTGGTTAGATATAAATATAATAATAGGAGATAAGAATATGTAAGAAGCATAAAGTATCGATATAAATATTTAATAATAAACTCTTCTAAAGCATTATTTTGATGGCTTATTCTTCCCATTCTATAGAGTTAAGTATTAATTTATTACCTTTCAAGAAATAAAATTCAGCACCAATTCCCCAAACTTTATTGAACATGTAAGCAAAGATTGCTTGGTTAATCACTTGAATTAAGTAGGGAAAAATTGTCCAAAAAGTCTTAAAATTTCTTTGCACTTTTGCCAATTCGGTCATACACCTTTCAAATTTTGCCGATTGAGTCCTAAATCTTTTTAAGTTTTATCAATTGAATATGTCTGGCCAATTTTGGCCGGAGATCACTAATAAGGACACTGGCCGTTCTACAGGACGTCGCCAATACTAACGTGGATAATTTTTAATAACAATTAAACATGTAAGCAGGAATGCTCGGTTAATTAAGTACTTTACAAAATTACCGACACTCCACATCATTCAATTTTCTTTATATATATATATATATATATATGATATGGTAAATGTTATGATTGGACTTATAGGGTAGTAATCATAATCTTAGGATATAATATAATCATATGAATATACAAGTCAATCCGTCGGTCCATTTGTAAAGTAGGGGCTCGACATAATTGAGATTTGACGTCACGAAATGACAAGGAAAAAAATAAAGGAAGGGGGGGAGAGGATAGAAAAGAAAAGGGTGTGGAGAGAATATTGTATCGTCCCTAGACACCAAATTAATCATATCGAAAGCTCAACATCACCTCGAGATCGTATCGTGACCATTGACAATACAGTCGCGACCCATCATCTCCAATGGCATCAAATCGTCGTCCTCTTCACGAGGCGGCTAGTGGGGACAAGGCCCCTTCTCGATCCTCGATCGATTCGCATAATGATGTTCGAAAAGGAAAGATGTGGAATCTCGAATTCTCTTTGAAAATGTATGGTGAAATTGGAAGGCTTCTCAGGAGCTGTACATCTTGCGTTTCCATACAGAAATTACACGGTAGTTTGCTCTTTGCTTTCACCCTTTTGAGCATATTCACCGGTAGAGCATGTAAGGAAAAGATAGACCGAAGTCTAAAACTTAAGCTATTTGAAAGAAGAGCTGTGCTGGAAAAGGAGAAGATAATCTACACTTTGAGACTATAGTTCTCGACTCCCTCCGGTTCCTTCACCGGCTCGACGCATTTTGGCCCGACCGACAGGTCCCCTTCCGCGTCGAAGCTGGCGTGGACCCCGTAGAAGACGTAGATGAGCCCCACGGCGGCCGAGAAGACCCCGAACCGCATGTAGGATGGGCCATCGAGCGACCCGAGCAGGAAGATGTTCAGGAAGATGGAAACGCAGGGGATCCATGGCATGAGGGGCAAGCCCCAGAACTCGGGCCGGCGGGCCTGCGGGACGGTGAAATGGAACAGCTGCGCGACCACGAGGGCGACGAGCGCGCACGAAGCAAGCATGAAGTACTTGGGCTTGCCGGGAGGCGCTAGGTGCCATATGAGGGCGAAGAGGAGGGAGGTGAGGGAGAACGCGGATAGGAATGATAAGGTGGGGCGCGGGTCGGTGGTCCCAACCACCACGTAGCGGCGGTAGATGACCGCGTTGGCCACCATGTAGAAGACGAAGAGGGTGCCAATGGAGACGAGGTTGAGGAGGACGTCTAGGTCCGTGAAAAGAGCAATGGCCGCCGTTAAGATTCCTGAAAAGCATGGCACATTCGTCAGAAAGTGAGGAAAAGAATCACAATACGTTGCCAAAAAAAAAAAAATTCTTTGGAAAGATCACATGTCATCTTGGAATAGGATCGATGCTCGAAATTTTCATATCTTAGTGACCCACGAGTTGATGTGCGCTCGTTATGTTGCTAAACTAAAATCTCTAGCGATTACAAAGAACCAATCTCGGAATCGCACGTAACCAACGTTCGATGGATCCATTCGACAACGAATTTTGGACTAACATGTATAGAACACATCTATCTAATGAGTGAAAACAAAAAATAAATTTGAGGTTTAAGACGGACTAGGCAAACTTGCTTCGCAATTTCCACTTCTAGAAATACTTATCTACACGACTGATTTCGAAAGCGATAAGAATTCAAAATTAAAAAGAGTGGGTGGCGAGTTGACTCTCTCTCTGTCTAAATCCAATGAGGTCCACTTCACTTGCATTGTCATTGATTGAGGGAGGGAACTTTCCATGACAATCCCTTGGGCAAGCAGATGTCAACGTCACACGCAAGGTTCGAGTCCATGCCTCAAATCTTGTGGGTAGCACACAGGGCCCTGGTTGGGGACCATTTTAGAGACCCCCACTTGCGTGTCCTAGGCGTTGAAATTGGCCATTTCCCATATGGATCTTGTGGATTTCGGGTAATCAAAGTGACGGGCGGTCGTTAAACATCTAAATAAACAAAGATCGTCGTCATTTTCAGTCCACCGATTCTATCGTATTATGTGTAATCGGTATATCGAGAATGAGAATCTTTTTTCGATTAAGTACGATTAACCAGTTTCCGAGAACCTTAACAAAATCCTCTAATAGAGAGAGAGATAGGGACTAAGGATTGACAAGTACTGCCCACTTAACCCATGCATATCCGAATCCTAATTATCCAATTGCCCATTTAGAGCAAAAGACCCACCCAAAATCCAATTTGTGCCTTTTCCAAACTCCATCATTGTTCCATCACCTCCGCTTCTTTCATTGGCCCAAAGAACGGAAACCCCTTTGGCGGAAGTGAAGTGGTGGAACTAAGGGCAAAAGCTAGATTAGGCTCGAGCCACCATGGTCAAGTGCTAGGATTTAGGGTCATGAGTGATTTCATTCCCCACTCCTTTTTTTGGGGGGTGGGGGCGATGACAATGAAGATTCACGCATCTAATGAACGTGAATCATGCGACGATAGGTCGTTTTCGTCGTAAGAACTAACCTCGAACACACATGTGAAACTAGACCCGTGAAGATCGGTATGATTTCTAGCTGACCCATCATCTCATAGGAGCAAGCACGCTCGAAGCTTTATCCGAGACCAGCGTCGCATCGCCATGGAATGCAGCACCTCAAAGTTTTCATTTTTTTTTTTTTCTGGTGGGGAGTAGAAATCCTAATCCAACCCCACTTACAACAGAAACGGGTTCGAGGGGGTCCCTCCCAACGAGACAGACAGCAAGCAGCCACGAACCAAAGAACAAAGAACAAGAACCGGAACAAACGCGAAACTCAAAGCCCACCACAACCCAAAAAGAGAAAAAAGAAAGAGGAGCATGATAAAGAACTCTCTCATCATCGAAAAGCACTCAAAACTCACACGGCACGCAGACACGACATCCACGACATGGAGCCCAGCGAAGGACTCGTTCACGACAACTTCGTCGTTCGATTGCCGGTTAAAAAAGTGGGATTAAACGATTAATTATTGATCAGAGTTATAAGAAAGCAAAAAGAAGGGAGGGGGATGGGGCGAATGGAAGGGAACGTTACCCAGAAAAGCGGAAGCGTTGACGGGCGTGGATGACCCGGGGTGGACCCGGGCGAACCAGGCCGGGGCCACGCCGGACCGACCGATCACGCACATGTACCGCGCCTGCCCCAGCATCGCCACGATCAGGGACGTCAGGATCCCGAAGCTGGCCCCGGCCCCGATCACGTTCGACACCCACTCCCACCCTCCCTTCCCTCGGAACGCCCCCGCGAACGGCGCCTCCACGTTGATCTGCCCGCCACCCGAAACACGCACAGCAGCACCGTCAGTCATCGGCCGCAGCAAAAAATATCGAGAGAAAGCGATTGTGCTGGTGCCTAACTCGGATTTATCAGGTAAGTTAGAACATTGATGCAGACGGGGGCCTACTAGATGAACTTGTCATGGGTGCGTCCTAGATTTGCCCTGTGGATCTTACTTAGGTCCCACAAAATCTAACTGTCCAAAATTAATTTTAGCATTTCGCGACGCACACCAAATGAAATGAAATGATTCAGACAAATTGGTGGGCAATTTCCGATTCTTTACCATGTCGTAAGGCAGCAACATGGACATGGAAACGGCCATCAAGCAGTAGAGCACGGTGACGAGGACGACGGAGCCCGACACCCCGATGGGGATGTCCTTAACGGGGTCCTTCACCTCCTCGGCCATGGTCGAGACGGCGTCGTACCCAATGTAGCTCAAGTAGACCGCCGCCGCCCCGTTGAACACGCCCGCGGCGCCGTACGGGAGGAACCCGCCCGGGCTCCTCGGGTCGCCCTGCTCGGTCAAGTTCCTCCGCTCGCCCTTCGAGAACCCGATCAGGATCACGAATGCTAGGAACAGGATGTGAAGCGCCGTCAACGTCATGTTCACCTTTGAACTCTCACGTGTGCTGAAAAAAGGGCAAAAGAGAAAGAGAAAAAAAAAAAAAGAAGACAAGACATTATCGTCACTGAACATATATGGAAACATGTGTGCCCACTGATTTTGTTCTCTTTTGGGTCATTAGCTCAATCTGTACCTGTAACAGATAATGAGGGTTATGATCAAGACGACGGCGACGGCGACGAGGTCGATCTCGTTGAAACCCTTCGGGAGCCCGGGGACGGTGAGCCGCCACTTGGTGTACGAGATGCCGATGGCGGTGCCGGAGTAGGCGGTGAAGCTCCTCGCGACGGCGGCGTTCGACAGCACGTACTCCGCTATGAGATTTGCACCGGTCAAGAACGCCGCGAACTCGCCTGGAACAGGGAAAGAAAGAGCAAGAACATCGTTTTCCTGAGTCAAACGTACGAATTCACGCACAGTGCGTTACGTCTGCTTCGTAAATCGATTTGGAAAAAAAAAAAAAGGGGGACATTTGATTTATTTAAAGCATAAATGGTTTTTTCCGTAAGAGTGGAGGGCAAGCAATGCACGTAAAATCAGCGGAAAATGCACCAAAAATTCAGGGGAAAAGGACAGGAATGCACCGAAGAGAAGAAAACAGAGCAAAAAGGTCAAATTATTGTCGTCCTGTGACTTTGCCGTGTGTTTAAGGTGAAGATGGAAAGGAGTGACGAGGGCACCCGTCCGTACCGAAGGTGACGCGGAGGTAGCTGAACGCGCCGCCGGCGACGGGCATGTCGACGGCGAACTCGGTGTAGCAGAAGGCGGAGAGGAGGGCGCAGAGGCCGGCAATGGCGTAGGACAGGACGACGGCCGGGCCGGCGCATTGGCGGCTGGCCCTGCCGGTGGTTACGAAGACGCCGGCGCCCACCATACCGCCGATGCCGAGCCCGACGAGGTCGAACCAGCGGAGGGTCCTGGCCATGCTCGGCCCCGACCGGGACCGGACCCGGCTCATCTCCTCCCGGGACGTGGACACCGACCCGGCCCGGCGGGCCAGGCGAGCCGGCGTCTGGGCCAGCGCCCGCAGGTAGGCTCGGGGGCTCGAGAAGGAGGAGCTGTCGCCGCGGCTCTCCATTTCCTCTCTCTCTGCAACTCCCTTCTTTGTCTCTCTACTGATAGCGCAGAAGGAGGAGGAAGACGCGATTTATATAGGAAGAAAACAAATGTAGAATTAATTGCATATCATAGATAGAAAAAGGAAAAATATGAAAATGCAAAGCGATGAGATGTTTTTGAGGACAGAGGGGGCACAAAATCCGAGATCTCATAGTTAATAGGTAACAGGATTAATATCATTAAAAATTTTAAATTAATATATATAGTAAAAAAAATTAAATCGGTGTGTTTGTAATAAATTTATCCTCAATTTATTTCCGTTAAATTTTATTATCAAATTCCTTCGTTAAATGACACGCGACAGTTGACGGATGTACCGGTTTTATATTTTACCCTCCGTTTGTCACAGGTGTATCTGTTTATGATTTTTTTTATATTAATCCAATTTAACGGAAACTAACGGAGGTTAAATTTGTTACAAATGTACAAATTTGGAGTTTTTTTATGGTCAAAAAATTAGTTTTGGATAAATTTGTCACAAGTGTACCAGTTTTGGGTTTTCGCTGTGAGATAAATTTGACACCGATAAATCAATTTGGAGTTTTTCGTGGTATTAATCCTAGCTAATACTTTTTTGTAAAGTAAAATATTATTTACATTATAAAATTTACGGCATGAAGAACTTTAGTGTCATGCTATATTGTGCAGTGTAAATCTTTTTTTAAACCAGCTAAATAAAAAGAGAGCCGGTCTTTTTTTTTTCGTTTTTTTATCGAAGAAAAAGGTGGGGAGGGGTGACATGTGTTGGCGACTTATTTTGATACGAGAGATTGTATGAAATTCGATTTTTTATTTGTTTATGTTTACTGTCTATTTCTTTTTCTAATTTAAAGATTTCGAAGTTAGATGGTTGTGTTGTGCATTTCCCCTTGAAGCCACTTTTACGTATGCTCCTGAAAATTTATCACGTGTAATTTAAATTGATTGACGAAATGCTTAAAGAGCTTTTCAAGCCGTTCCAAAGAGATGAAGAAAAATAATTCACTTCTTAAGTTCGGAGGGTGAACAAAGACTTCCACGGAAGCTTTATTTGGCGTTCGATAAGAATGGGTTAAGCGTTAAAATCCAATCGGATTATTCGTTGAGCGGTTCACAGCTTGGTTCGTGAGTCAAAGGTTTATGGTTCGATTGCTCGGTTTACCCTCGGTCTCTGAAAAACTAGGTTCGTCTGGAGATCTAATCGTCGATCTTAGAATTCCTCACTCGTACCTTTTAGAGTCATGGCCATGGGTTCGCCCGATTAGTGTTTCGTTGGTTCCTTAAATTGAATATTTCAATAGTGAGCGAGGTAGGTCTTAATCCCGTACCGACTTTTTTCCTTCTTGAACGAGAATTTATGCTATCTAACAGCTTGCTCTGATGCTAAAGGTTTTTTTTTTTTTTATAGTTTTGTTTTATTCATTCATTTATTTTTATTTGTTTCAGAAGCTGCTAAAGATAACTATGAGGAAAGGAAGGGGGGGGGGGGCTCTTCGAGTAGGTTTTGTGGTGTTAAAAAAGTCAAAGTGTAATGGGGGGGACTGCTTTCCTGAATGGACCCCTTGCCCATAAACTGTTCATGATTCTCCTCCAATCTACTACTGTTGCATTGGCTATTTGGTTCTTTTTCATGATGAAGCTTTGCCTGTTCTATTGTCTAATCGTGTTGGACTTAGCACATGTATCCATTACAATAAGAGTATAGCATTAGCGAGAGTTGGGACCATGATAAGCTCTCTTAAAAATTTAGTGCAGTCTCAACTTGTCGATATGTCCGTGACGATCGGTGGCGATGGAAAGCTCGAATATTCTTCGGAACAGTGGCAAAGTCTTAGGGAGGAAATCGACGAATACAAACTCTATTTTCTTTTATGTGTCGTCCGGGAGTTCTAGACTACTCTGATGAAATGGGTCCACGAGAACTATCGTAGCCCCAATCAGCGTTCTTTACGCACGGAATGATCAGGGAAGAGGACCGCTCTTTAATGTTGATTTTTTTTATTTATTTCGTGAGAAAAGAAGTGTTGACATATTTACGGCAGTTTTGATATCGATGACGATTTAAAAAGAAAATTCTTGTCGATTAATAAAAGTGGATATCAAAAATCTGAGAAACTACATTGGCTGTGGACATCCTCCCCACTATCACCAATGGTCGTTGACCTTGATCACCACCTATTTAGGGTCACCTCTATTGGCAATGGAATGATCATTGCACCACTTTCGTTACTAATAAACCAAAGTTGGGGAAAAAGCTCTCAATGATCTTTAATGAGATTAAACATTAGTATGTCTAGGGGCTTTACGAATTTGAAATATTTAGCGTCGCGCGACGAAACTCAATTATCCAAAGCAAAACCAAAAGGTAAATATTATGAAAATCATATCCACGAACAAGTATGAGAATTTTTTTGTTTCGTTAGACATAATAATGATGTCATTGTTTTAGCTAATTATTCGCATTCTCTTTCCCTCTAAACGAATCTTTTTAGCTTCTATGCACAGCACAAAAAGAACTAGTAATTTCCGGCTTGGGAATTAGTGGTCTCGTATTCATTTCCCACGAACCGCGCGCAAACTGTTCGAAGCCTGGGTTACCTGTACAGGCCAAAGGAATAAACTTTACCGGTTCATGAGCTTGCGGGAAATTTCATGGGCGGTCGAATAACTGAGTCTCGGGCTCATGCCCCCGAATTATAAAAAACCCAAAAAAAAGGAAGGGCAAATACCACAAAAAATTTCAAACTACGTCAACTCTAACACAAATACCCGTAACTTTTTTTTTAATTGTGTTACCACAAACCATAAACTTGCCCATCGTGGCACAAATGCCCCCAACTTTTTTTGTGTCACGAAAAAAACCCTACCCTCCATTTCAGTTCCATCTCGGGTATATTTTTCACACCGGTATAAATTCGGAATTTTATGTCACGATGAGCAAGTTTAGAGTTTTTAGTGACACAAAACAAAAGCTCGGGGTATTTGCGTTACGATGGGTATAATTTAGGACTTTGTACGATATTAACCTAAAAAAAAAAAAAAGAAAGAACTAATAAAGGCAAAGTTCACTACCCGGGGGGTGAGAATGTTCGAATCTAATCTAGGACTTGAAATGGGATCACGTCGAACTATGCAACTTTCGGCGGCCTTAGCAAGTTTAATCTAATAATGGTGCTAATGGGGCCGTGAGATATGCATCTCGAATGTCGAATGTTAAGTTTATCCTAATGAATGATATCCTAATGACACGTGAATCTCGAATCTACGTTTGACATATTAATGATAATGAGCAGACCATGATGACCCCTTAATTATCTCGATAATCTCTTAATTACGGACACCCATTTTCCAAAACGAGTTTTTTCTTTCTACAGAAAATGATTTCGGGCTGGTCGGAGCTTAATCACTCCTCGCTCGATCACCTTCGATACAACTCGTCGTTAATGTACTGGAATTGGCAATACGAAAAATGAATAATTTGAAAAGCACTTTTCTAAAAAATAACTCACTTGTGAAAAATATTTTCATTATCGAAAACAATATATATCTAAGTATTTTCGTAGATAATAAGAACATTTTTCATTCGTTTATTTTTATAAGGGATACGAGCGATCAATTTAAAATATGTATATTTTTTTTTCAAATTATTCATTTTTACGAAATAAATGCAAAAATAATTATTTGCGAAAAATACCAACTGTTCCAAGTTGTCATGCGGATCTCTTTTTCACTTCGGGGTGGGGGCTTACACGTGCGCCGCGGCGACGACACGTGGGAGAGGGTTAGTTGTGTTTTTCGGGTCTTCGGGGGAAAAGGAGAGCGGAACGACGGTGGAAAGCGCGGGGGCTGAAGGGTGGGGGGAGAAAGAAGGGCGGGTATTGGAGGACACGTGGCGGAGGGGCCAAAAACGGAGGGCCGTTTTTGGGTGGGGGGAAAAAGGCGAAGCGGATAAACTTGTCGGAGGGAAAAAAATTCGGGGCGGGGCCTTTTTAATCCGACCGTGTCGAGGAAAGGAAAACGACGTGTCGCGCCGCCCGCCACTGCCGAAAAAAGTCCCGGTCAAGTCAGTGCCGGGAAACTGAAGCCCACTGACCAATGGGAGGAAAAGTCGTGCCTGATGCTTCGTTTCAATAGTGCCTTTTTTCCTTTCGTTTTTATTGTCCGATCAATACCGCGAAACGTCGAATTGATATACCCGTAATAAATTTACTACGAATTAATACCTCAGACGGGTATATTTACGATAAATTTATCTCGAATTAATATTTTGATCACCAAAAACCCCAAACCGGCACATTCGTAACAAATTTACCTTACGTCCGTTAAATTAAATTAATATCGTAAAAAATTACAAACCGATACACCTGTGACAAACGGAGGGTAAAACGCCAAATTAGTATACTCATTAACTGTCACGTTTCATCCAACTGAGTAATTAAATGGTAAATTTTAACAGGGATTTTTTGTGGTCAAAAAATAAATTTGGGGTAAATTTATCATGGATGTATCAGTTTGAGGTTTTTCGTGATATAAACCCTTTTTTCTTTTTGCCCATTTCTAATTTACATAAAACATTTTTATTATACAATCATTCGCTTAGGTGCACATAAAAGGATCTGAAAATTATTTATCCATAATGAAATTGAATGCTCGTGTTATAATTTAGGGTGCGTTTGTTTAAGTGAAGAGATTTTCCCTGAATTAATTTTCCGGACCTTCACATGTTTGGTTTGCTGAAAACGATCGGTTTAGCAGAAAATCCATTTACGGTGAAAGAAAATATACATGCATAAATTTAGGAAAATGTATTCCCCAACCCGAGAAGCAGAAAATATTTCTTGAAGAACGATTTCTCGAAAAATATATTTCTTTATCATTGAGTTTTCATCGAGATAAACACACCCTTCTTGTTCATCCATACCACGATATAAAGCAAAAGAACTTCCTCTTATGAAGGAATCACTAATTACCCTTTTTCCCGAAAATATTCCTCTTATTAGCTCCTT